GAAAAGCTTTTCGAAGAAGAGATAGAGAAAATTCCTGGAAAGGAAGAAGTTGAATATGCGGTCGATGTTTACGCAAAAGCTGTAAGACCTGAAGTTAGTGAAGAATTTATTCCGGCAGAAGAAGAATTTGAGCCTGTAATAACTAAAGAGAAGATTTTCGAGGAAGAGCTAATGAAAATTCCTGGAAAGGAAGAAATTGAATATGAATATGAAGCTGCTCGTGAACTTGCTAGAAGTCCCGAAGTTAGTGAAGAATCTATTCCGGAAAAGATTAAGGAAGTTGCTGTTGCTCTTGAAGAAAAACCAGAGGAAATATTTGAACCATTAGTAAGTAAAGAAAAGGTTTTCGAAGAAGAGATAGGGAAAATTCCAGGAAAGGAAGAAGTTGAATATGCGGTCGATGTTTACGCAGAAGCTGTAAGACCTGAAGTTAGTGAAGAATTTATTCCGGCAGAAGAAGAATTTGAGCCTGTAATAACTAAAGAGAAGATTTTCGAGGAAGAGCTAATGAAAATTCCTGGAAAGGATGAATATGAATATGAATATGCTGCTCGTGAACTTGCTAGAAGTCCCGAAGTTAGTGAAGAATCTATTCCGGAAAAGATTAAGGAAGTTGCTGTTGCTCTTGAAGAAAAACCAGAAGAAATATTTGAACCATTAGTAAGCAAAGAAAAGCTTTTCGAAGAAGAGATAGAGAAAATTCCTGGAAAGGAAGAAGTTGAATATGCGGTCGATGTTTACGCAAAAGCTGTAAGACCTGAAGTTAGTGAAGAATTTATTCCGGCAGAAGAAGAATTTGAGCCTGTAATAACTAAAGAGAAGATTTTCGAGGAAGAGCTAATGAAAATTCCTGGAAAGGAAGAAGTTGAATATGAATATGAAGCTGCTCGTGAACTTGCTAGAAGTCCCGAAGTTAGTGAAGAATCTATTCCGGAAAAGATTAAGGAAGTTGCTGTTGCTCTTGAAGAAAAACCAGAGGAAATATTTGAACCATTAGTAAGTAAAGAAAAGGTTTTCGAAGAAGAGATAGGGAAAATTCCAGGAAAGGAAGAAGTTGAATATGCGGTCGATGTTTACGCAGAAGCTGTAAGACCTGAAGTTAGTGAAGAATTTATTCCGGCAGAAGAAGAATTTGAGCCTGTAATAACTAAAGAGAAGATTTTCGAGGAAGAGCTAATGAAAATTCCTGGAAAGGAAGAAATTGAACGCGATGTTGTAGGTATCGCTGAACTTACAAGTGCCGTAATTAGTGAAGAATCTAGTTTAGTTGTGTTTAAGCATGCTGCAGATGATTTTGGAAAAAGAGTGGAAGAAATATCCGCGTCTTTGGTTGGTGCAGTTTTGGAGGGAAAGCTTGAATTATCCTCTGGACGAGAAGATGCTGAAATTGTGTTTTGCGATTTTGATAGAAGTCGTGAGTTTAGTGATGACTCAATTCCTGATGAATCAAGTGATATTATTGTTCATGAGCGATTTGCTAGTACAATTGACTTTGATGAACAGACGGCAGAACAGAATGCTCGAGGTCAGCGACAGAATAATCATATTTTTTTTAATGGATTGCTTTTTTCTATTTCCTTTATTTGCTAACTTTTATTTTTAGGAATAGATGTTTTCTCTCTAACGCTTGATATAACTTAGATACAATTTATCTGAGCAATATTTTGAACTTATTTCAGGCCTAACGACTGAACCAACTATACGAGAAAGTGATGGAAATGAAGAAGATAACGGCGAACCTCTAGCGTATTCGGAAGATAATACAGGAACTCGAGAAACTCGAGAGGAAGACATGACAGGTCAGCTGATTAGGTTTATTAGGTTTTCCATTAATCTATCAGTCGAATTTTTATTTCACTTTTTTTTTGTGCTAACTTTCGCGAGATACAAATTTTCATATAAAAAAGAGATATCGAAATTTCGTGCATAATTTCTACGATACTATTGCCACAAAAATTAGTGAATCGTTGGTTTTTTTCTTAAGTCTATTTTTATTACATAAAAAATTATTTTTGCGGTGTTATTTAAAAAAAAAAAAATTGAAAAATAAAAAATAAACTAAAATACATATTAATTATTTCAGAAAGAGAAAAATTATTACTAATTAGAAATGCCAAAAGCAATGAAGAAAGTATATCATTTGGAGAAAAACTAAAAAGTTTTGGAAAAAGAACAGGGATAGTTATTGGTGGAGTAGTTGCAGCTCCCATAGCACTAGCAGCTCTAAGTACAAAGTTAGCTTACGATTATGCAACAAAGGAATCTGAAGAGGAAAAATTGGTCCCTGAAAGGGAATATGAAAAACAGATATTCCCCGAACGTATAAAGGAAACTGGCATCAGTGAGGAACCTAGTCCGGATAAGACTCGATTAGTTACCACTTTTGATAGAAAACCAAAAGAAGAAACAATGGTTCCCAGAACGGAAAAACAGATTTCTGATGAAGAACTGGATCTGAGAGGTACAAAAGATGTAGAAGAAAGTGAATATGAAACGCCAGTTTTCGAAGAGGAATTAATTAGGAGAACTGAAATCAGTGAGGAACCTAGTCCGGATGAGACTCGATTAGTTACCACTTTTGATAGAAAACCAGAAGAAGAAGCAATGGTTCCTAAACCGGAAAAACAGATTTCAGAAGAAGAACTGGATCTGAGAAGTACAAAAGGTGAGGAAGAAAGTGAATATGAAACGCCAGTTTTCGAAGAGGAATTAATTAGGAGAACTGAAATCAGTGAAGAACCTAGTCCGGATGAGACTCGATTAGTTACCACTTTTGATAGAAAACCAGAAGAAGAAGCAATGGTTCCTAAACCGGAAAAACAGATTTATGAGATTTCTGATGAAGAACTGGATCTAACAGGTAGAAAAGATTTAGAAGAAAGTGAATATGAAACACCTGTCTTCGAAGAGGAATTAACTAGGAGGATTGAAATCAGTGAGGAACCTAGTCCGGATGAGACTCGATTAGTTACCACTTTTGATAGAAAACCAGAAGAAGAAACAATGGTTTCTAAATCGGAAAAACCGATTTCTGATGAAGAAATAGATCTTGAGGGCCAGAGAGATATTGAAGCAAGTATTACGAATGTTTTTCATGAATCGATAAGGACAACTGAAATTAGTAGGAAGCCCAGTCCAAAAATAATAATGGAAAACGCAGAGTTTATTCCAGGTGAAGCTGAAGAGAAAGATGAATTTGCAGTGATATTACCGGGATTTTCTTACGAGAGGATGAAGGATAGGTCGAGTTATGATAAAGATTTTCCTCTTGATTTCCATGAACAAGAACAAAGCACTTCTGGCCTAGAATATGGAAATGAAATGGACAAAATTCATGATTATGCAAGCATGGAACCGAGTTATTCTGGAGAAGGATTCCAGAGGGATGATGAATTAGATGTAAAAGAGCAAGAGCATCTTCCATCTTCGTTTGGTGAAAAATTAAAAGATTTTGCGAAGACTGCAGGTATGATGGCAGGAAGCGTAATTGCTGCACCTGTTGCATTAACCGCTGTTGGAGCTTCAAAAGTATACGATTATGCAAAGAAAGCTAGGCATTCTGAACCATTGCTTGAAGCAGATATGGAAGGACGTGAAGAGATTTTAGAACGTGATGTCGACGTGGCTAAAGGAATAGCGGCTATTTCTGCTGATTTCACCGAATCTGAAGACACTGAAAAATATAGAACATCGGAACCTGAAGAAGAAATGGAAGAAGGAACGTGGCCATCAACGGCCACTTTACCGATTTCTATAAGTTTAGATCGATATGAAGAAGATGAGTCCAAAATAGCTGTAAAACCAAGTGAATTCGATAAAGTTCGTTTACCTCATTTTGTGAATGATCAAAAAATTCAAAAATACGAAAGCGAAATACCTCAAGAAGAAATTTACTTTCCTGAAATTCCTGGAAAAGAATCTGAACAACAAAAATGTAAGCAATTTGAAAAGTTTTATGAAGACGAATATGATACTACTAAGATGATTTTCACTGATAAAGTAATCAATGAAAAAGAAGAACGAACCGATACAGAGGAAGATACTGAACGTATGTCACCGTTTGAAATTATTGATAAAACTGATATTCCAATCAGTGATGAACAATTATTTGAAGAAAGAAAAATACTAGAAACTGATGATTTTTACGATGAAACTTTTGAAAAAATTGAAAAAGACGAAATTCAAGACGAGAAAAAAGATGAATCGCAATATCTTACTGAAATTCAATTTACTGATATTATTGATAAAGCAATTGATAAGGATTTTGATGAGAAAAGCGATAATGAATCGGAAATTTCATCAATTATTCTAAATCGTGTTATTAATTTATGTGCAAAACAATTAATTGATGAAGTATTAAAAGAAATTAGTGAATTATTTTTTGAAAATGATGAAAATGAATTTTATGCAATAACAACAAAAAGTTGTTCAAGTAAAATTATCGAACACGAAGATGATTATCAAACGGATTTACAAGAAAAACTCGATTTATTAGCTATGGAAAGTCAAAAAATACATTTTAATAGTTTTGATAAAAATTTTAATGAATCCATTCGAAGTGAAATCGAAAAAGAGAAAGTAGATGAAATTTATAGTAGTGAAATTAGTGAAATGATAAATGATATAATACAAAAAGCCGAAGAAAATTTGTCGAATTCCGATTCAGCAACATTTAAAACGGCTATTTCAACGAATTATGAGACTTGTGTCACCTCACAAGATGATACATTCGAAACAGCGCTTGGCTCACAAGAATCGGATTATACAACAGCTCCTAGTGGCGATAGTGATATAAGTGATACGAGATATGGAAGTGTCACACCAATTGCAATGGTATCACCTGTACAATCTGATAGAAATTTTATTGCATTACAAGATATTGAAGATTTTATTCCAACTAGTATTTATATAGATTCAAAAAGTTCCACGCCAGATGCACATGAGATAGTACTTATGACAACGGATGATTATGAAGAAGATGATGATGAAAAAATTCATTCAGCTGTAAGTGGATCTTTAATTGCACCACGTATGGATCCAGGAAGACCAATTTCACCAATACCACCACCTGCTTTAATCGAAGAAGAAGAGAATGATATTGATATCGTTGAAACTATGAAAATTGCTTATCATTTCCAGAAACCTCAAGTTGCTGAAGATGCTACGATAGAAAAGTATCCATCTCAAGAGGAAAGCTTCATATCGAAGGATATCCCCATTGTTACTTCGATGAGTACCACAGAAAAGTCTCAAATTATAAAGCGGATACCATCAGATGATATGATTCATGAAAAAGCAATGGATTTAGAAAAAGATCTAATTCGTCGATATTCTGATATTTCGTCATCAAGTCGTGCAGATACGGTGATTTGTAAAGATAGTGTTGAACCTCAATCGACTAGTAATATTGATCAAATTACATCAACAGCAATCACTGATATGCCATGTGATTCATTAGATTCACTTGATAAAATCTCTATAAAAAGTAGTAGTAGTAGTGGTAAACGTTATAGTACATCTCGACGAAGTAGTAATGGTTCACGAAAGAGTCCATTCGAAGAACCACAAACATTTATTGAACGTCTTACACCTGAACTTAAAATTATTTTCACCGAAAATGATCAAGAATCATCAAAATCACCACCAATAAGTTGCCTTTCACCTGAACAAGAATTTGATAATTATTCATCGAAAGATTTATCAGTACATACTTCTGAAATTCAATTAGAAACAGTCGATGAAGAACCTGAGGAAATTGATTCGCTAAATGGACGAAGTGGTTCCTCTTCAAATGGTCAAACAATTGATTCGATTATTATGGCTAAATATAAGCATATTTCAAGTGATAATGTTTCAGAAACAAGTTTACAAGAATTTGAAAGAATTGAAAGAGATGTTATGAATAAAGGTGAATCGAGTTTAAGTGGAAGCGAAATGGAACTTTATATTGCTAGTAAATTAAAAACAACAACAAATGGTTCAACAAGTTCATTAGCTGAATTTGAGCGTTTAGAACGAGAAGTTAGCGAAATATCACCACAAGAAGAAATTATGATTCTTTCGGATATACGTGAAGAATCTGAAATTGAATCGGAAATGAGTACGCAAGATGATGATGACGATGAATCTGATTCGATACCTGAAGTTAAATCAATTCCAGTAAGAGATGATACATTAGTAATTACACCAATCGCTTCACCAACTGATAGTATTGAAAAAGATTTTGTAAATGTAATTCCAGAATTACTTGAAACGAGTACAGATTCATTAGAACTTTGCTCATCATCAATGATTTCTCATTTTATTCCTATTGATAAACATTTATCAACTGATTATGAAATAATTGATAAAACACGTGAAAATCTACATGATTCACTTGAAAATATCATGCAAGATAAAGATTCTGTTCTTGAAGGAGCAAGTAGTCAAGAAATGGCAAGTCAAGATACTCAATTAGTATTAAGTGGTGATACATATCAAGAATATCAAGATGAGGATAAAGATTCGTTAGTTGGTGATATGGATACTATGTTAGGTGAATATCCGACAACTTTAACAACATATGAAACTGTACAATTAAAAGAAGATGGATCAGTGGAAAAAATTTATAGACAGGTATTTTTTTTCCTGTTCTTTTAATATCATATCATAAGTTATCCTGGTTTGATTAATTCCACTGATTATCATTTTATGATAAGAGAAAGATTTAAGGACAAAAAAAAAGGTCTCTCGATGATTTCTACTTTTAACAATCGATATCATTTGAGCTCAACCAAAGTTCTCATTAGCTTAAGCGTCGCACTATTTCTTTCATTTACAATACAATAACAATATGGTTACTTTATTTTAGGTACTAACTCGTGTACGAGATCCAATTATAAGTCATGTTCAATTCACTGGTACAGAAAATGAACAGCGTTTACGTGAATTAGTTCGTGAAGAAGAATATGAAACAATGGATTCAGAGGGTAATGTGACAAGAACAATATTACATCGTACTTCCATACCAAAGAAAGGTTTTCGATTTTTTAATTATTTACGTTCTTTTTTAAAGATTGCTTATCATTTCTGATTAGGCTGATTAGGCTTACTGTACTGATTTGTTGTTAAACGAAACAATTTTTGTTTAAGAAAAATCATTTGAAACACAAATAGAATAGAAACACAATAGAAATGTACAATTTAAATATGTAAATATTCTTAAATATATTTAAAAAATCTATAAATATTTAAAATATTTATAAATATTTTCTCTTTTTATTTTGCAGAAGATGAAGCAAAAAAATGGTACGCCAATGTATAAACGATAATAATTTCATTGCGACTTATCTTTTTTTTTCTTTTATTTTGTGAATTGCTTTTTTTTTTTTCTAACGTTTTATTTTTAAATTTTTTTCATTGCAAATGCTTCGAATAAAAAAATATTATTTATTTATAAAGGAAATATAAATAAATATTTAAATAACGAAAATATATAATATTTTCAAAAAAAAAAAAAATGTGAAATAAAATTTGATCACTTGATTAATGAATAATTGTTTATTTATTTGTTATAAATAAATAAAAATACGATGGAGAATTTCAAATGATAGCATATCAATTTATCGAAATCTTCAAATAAACTACTAATTAATAATAAAACAAATAAAAAAGTATCCTTTTGGGAATATAGTCACCATTTATATTATAGATCCATTATGACCATGCAACGATGAAAATATCAATTTTTATTCATTATTTGCACCATTTCATCCAAAATACGCGCCCGCCTGCTTTTTAATCAAGTGACCATTCTTCTAATTGACCATTCTATATAAAGATGAAAACGATAAACCTATGTATTTCATATTGGATGCGCATAAATTAATGAATATGACCATTTAATCTGAATTAAATTAATGAGTATTTTATAAACAATATGAACAATGAACAATAATTTAAATTAGATAATAAAAGAAATTTCTCATAATAAAATAAAAAGAACCAAAAAAAATTAAATAGAAAAATCCTTATTTTCCTAGGAGAAAAATTTTAAAAAATCTATAAAACTTTACTTATGTCGCTTGCTTTTATAATTAATCAATATCAATATCATTATGCAATAATATCATTGTTCCATCATATATCATTGATAATTTCAATAATAACTCTCTTTTAGAAACAAAAAAATACTAATTAAAAATCATCTGAAAGTGTAAATTTATAAATTTATATAAAAAATAAAATTCAAAATAAAAAAGGTTTATGGAATATGAACATACAATTTCTGACGTATATTTTATTATATTTATCTTAAAATATTAATAATATAAAATATATTATTAATATATTATAATAATTATAATAAATATATTATAATTATTATAATAAATATATTATAATTATTATAATAAAATATATTAATATTAATAAAAATTAATAATTAATTGAAAAATTAATAACGAACATTGCCTTTTACGCTTAGAAGCACGGTTAAGCATCCATTTTTCAAAACCAATGATAATTCGTTACAAAAACTGCTCCCCTATAGATAGGAATGTGCAGAGAGACGATCAACGAAGCATTTTCCTCTTCGGCATGAATTTATTAGAAACACCAGTTTTACTTGATTTTCCCATAGCATGTAAGTGTTTGAATAATGTTTGACTGGTATAATTTTTCTAAGCGATTTCATTTGGTCTTTTTTTTTGGATTAGATTAGTTGGACTATGAAATTTAGAAAATTTTCATTAACTTTTGAAGGTTCTATCGGATTTTTATGAGCCGATAATTTAAATTTTTAACTTAAAATTACATCTTCTCGAAAATCTCGAAAATTTCCTCTGACTTTTCCTCTTGTCATTGTTGTTGTTGTCGTTGCACTAATACCTTTAGGAAATTCATGAAATTTGTTGCGAACACTTATTATCATAAATTATTATTCACACGAATTTTCAAGAAAATTACACTGAAATACTAGATAATTTAGCAAATAACTTTCACTTCAAGTCAGAAATATTCAAAGGTTTAAAAAAAGCAACATTGTTAGAGTTTCTGGTTCAAATAGCTTCATCCGCGATTTTAAATCTTTGCGGTTAAATAAGAAAAGAAAAATAATTGGGGAGTAATAATAATTGAGCTATAATACTTAAATAAATATGAACAGGGAGTTAGCTGGATTTTTTAATTATAGCTTTATATTTGCCCAGGCTAGGCAAATGAGCAACTGCTATTTGATATGGAGATAGAATGGTTCATTGGGTTGTTGCTCAATTAGGAGCGCCGATGCGTTGAGATTCTATTCCCCATAAGAGTAAACCTATCCAAAAATTCGAGTGATGGTGGCGACTCATCTGTCATTCAATCGCCAAGGGATATTTGGCATATTTGTCCACTGTCCAGTGACAAGCCAGCAGAACGAGTTTAACCAGTAATGGTGAGGACTCTTAAAAAAAAAAAAGAAACTGCTATTCGATATAGATCGAAGTAATTATACCACTCGACCAATACCATCTCCGTCATGACCAATATCGCAAGAATTATGCTTTCAAATTTTTAAAATTTTTAGTTTATCACAATTTTTAAAATAATCTATAAACATAAATCTCTTCACTTGGAATTCTGACTCCTAAACTAGAAAAGTGGTTTCAGCAGTTCCCAGGAACAACACTCGAGATCTTTATCCAGATTATTAGCTAAGATACTGCGCAGAACCCTCAGTCTCCCAGGCCTCTGATAAAGAATTCGACGTTGAAAATAATCATGATCATTCACAGGGAATGAGAGAAAAGATTTTTTTTAAATATATATAAAATATAAAAATACTTAATTACTAAAAAAAAAAGAAAAAACGAAGAGAGGCGCTTCTTTATTTGATAAAATGATAAATAATAGAAAATTTAAATAAGTAATAAAAAAATATAATAAATAAAATGGGCTTTTCTTTGCAAGCATAAAACAGTAATACGGATGGAAGCCACGAAGGAAAAATGAAAAGGAATATTCTACTAACTCTCAATTCTGGTTTCACCATTTCACCATTTCTGGTTCGGTTCGTTCCTGTCTTTATTACATAAATAATAACTTTGGTTCGTTCCGTTAGCTTATCAGATAAATCTTCGTAGGAAAAAATTTTGATGATAATCGGATTTTTAAAAAAATAAATCTAATTCTAGAGTAAAACCTCAGTTACTTTCCTTTATAACGTCCCCTTCAATTTTTACAAAAAAAAAACACTCGAAACCAACGCTTACTTATTCTCTTATGATTTCGCTATTTTGTCGAATCCGCTATTTTGTCGAATTCGCTATTTTGTCGAATCCGATATTTTGTCAAATTCATTCACAAAAATCCCCTCCTCTTTACTTTTTTCCGCTATTATATTCATAAAAAATTTTTAAATAAATGAATCATTGAGATAAAAACTGAAACTGAAGTTCAACTGCATTGTAGTAGAGCTGAGACTGCAGAATAGAGACTGCAGATGCCATAGAATTTTTTTTTTTTTTGAATATCTTTTAGTCATTAAAATTAAAATAATGGGGGGCGATAATCGACGACGAAGTTCACCAAGTAGACGTGATCGATCGCCTTCACGTAAAAAAAGTCGTCGAGATCGAAGCGGTTCACCGCGTGATCGTTTATCAAAACATAAAGCGCATAACGAACGTGAAAGGAAGAAAGAAAAAAAAAAAGATAAAGATTTGGATTTAGAAGAAATTGTTTCAATGACGAATAAAGTAAGTAAAAATTTCGCTTATTAATATTTCCAAAAAAAAAAATTTTTTTTTTACATGAAAAATTAATTTTTTTTTAAATTTTTCATTTTTTCATTTTTTTCATTTAATTTATTCATTTATTTTATTCATTCATTTAATTTTTCATTTTTTTAATTTTATAATTTTATAATTTTTGATTAAATTGATTAAATTAAAGGGTGAGGCAGAAAAAAAATTAGAGATCGAAATGCAAAAACGACGTGAACGAATTGAAAAATGGCGTTCACAAAGAAAGAATAAAGAAATTGATGATAAAGAAAAAGCGACTACCTCAAAAGATGAATCGGAAAATTTAATGGATGAACAAAGTGGTAAACATGAATGGACGTTGGATAATGAGGAAGATGATGATGATGCATCGCAGTCGTCTCAAAATGATGATAAGTAAGTTTTTTTTTATTTCCAAATTTTATATATTTTAATAATTGAAATAATTTTTATTAGCTAAATACATAGAATTAGTAAAGTAAATCGTTTCAACGAGTATATGAGAGTTATTTAACGTAGAAGAATTGTATTTAAATTCCGCTAAATATTTACAGAGCTATAACTGCGCTAAGACTAGTACTATGCTTCGGATAAATAGTCGCAGATCTGCAACTATGTTAAGCTTCCGCCAAATATTTGCAGACCTGTAATTACGTTGAGCATCCATTAAGTATTTGCATCTCTGTAACTACGTTGAGCATGCGCAAAGTTTTTTGCAGACCTGTAACTACATTGAGCATCAGCCAAATATTAGCAGATCTGTAATTACATTAAGCTTTCGGCAAATTATTTGCAGACCTGTAATTACACTGAGTTTTCACCAAATATTTACTAATTAATAACTACACTAAGCTTCGTTTTAAGTATTTACCAAATCTCTGATTAATTACACTGAGTTTCCCTCAAATACTTGCAGACCTGTAATTACATTAAGCTTCCACCTGATATTTGTAGACTTTTAGAATATTTGTAGGCTTTTAATTTTAAAAAGAAAAGTAAAAATTTGGTTAAAATATTGCAAACTTATTAAATATTATATTAATAACACGTTGTTCCATTATGATATTTTAAATGAATGCAAGCAGCGCTGATTTGATTCCTTTTCTTTAAAATGAGTTTATCTGACGTTAAAATTAAAATTCGGAGGGATCATTTGGAGGTAGACATATTTATTTCTGTTTTTTATTACAACTGTTTGGCGTAAAATATTATATAAATTCTTCCTTATTTTATGAGTTTGGTTTATTTTTGAATATTGAATGTCTGTTACGATTAATTTTTTAAAGTGGAGTAAATTTTTCTTATTAATAGGAAAATTTCTAAAGAGGACGACGATGAAATAGATCCGCTTGATGCTTATATGTCTGAAGTTAATAAAGAAGTACGATCTTCAAGATATGGAGCTGTAAGATTTTTTTCATTTTTATAAATTTTAGATAATTTATTAATTAGTTTATTTAATTAATTTATTTAACTAATTTATTTAATTTGTTTATTTGAAAAAATTTATAATGTATGATTCGATTCAGAGCGCAGAAGGAAAGACTCGAATCGTTTTGATAAATTCAGTTGAAAATAGCGAAAAGAAAAAAGGAGAAATTGTCGAAGCCGAAGATGAAATTGAGGTTATTTTAAAAAATTTCGTTTATTTTAACATTTCATAATGTAGCGATTTTTGAATCTTACATTTTTTTGGAAGGATTTATCCGGTATTTTAGGCTTCCAGAGTTCTAAATTTTCAAATTTTGCCTTCCATTTTTAAAACCATTAAAATTTTTACAAGATTATTAAAATATTAGCAAATTAGAAACGATCATAATTGAAGATAATTTGTCATTAAAATCGTCAGTCAATTTTTGTCAATTATTGCCAGTTTTTTTACACTTGCAAAATTTATTCAAAGTGCTTAGGCATTTATGCCAGTGTTTTCATAAGTTTGTTTTAGGTTAGACTTATCTCTATCATTCTTATTACGCTATTTAAAATTTTTGTTAGAAAAAAAGTCGTCATTTAATATTTATCATTTTAATATTTTGTTAACACTTTTTTTTAGCAATATGTCGATGATTTTGATATCGAAAAGGCCGCTTCATCTTTAATTGCAAAAGGACGTCAATTACCTCAGACCGATCATTCAAAGGTTGATGTTTCAGAAAAATGTCTCTTACTTTTTTTTCTTAGCTTTTGCATTACATATCATTATATTTTGTTCTTTCGGGGTTTTTTTTTTGATTTTTTGTTATTATTATCATTTTTAAAGGTATATTATCGACCATTTCGGAAGAATTTCTATATGGAAACGGCTGAAATAGCTAAGTTAACAAAAAATGAAATTGATGAATATAGAGAAAAGTGTGATATACGTGTGCGTGGCAAAAATTGCCCTAAACCGATACGGACTTGGGCTCAGTGCGGAGTTGAATGGAAAATTCTTAATACTTTAAAAAAGTTTTCTTTTCTTTTTATGCCTAGTTTTTCATGAAATTTTTTTTACATTCCTTTATATTTACTCTTATTTTTCATTAGATCTTTTCCATAAACGGATATTCGTAGGATAGATACATAGTTTCATTATATGCATTGCAGACTAGATTATAAGGCACCAACACCAATCCAATCTCAAGCAATACCTGCCATTTTGAGCGGTCGTGATGTTATTGGTATTGCCAAAACAGGAAGTGGAAAAACATTGGCATTTTTGTTGCCAATGTTTCGCCATATAATGGATCAGCCCGAATTAGATGAAATGGATGGACCTATCGGTAATTTTCTTAAATTTTTATAGATGAAGTTATATAACAATGTTATATAACAATTTTTATTATAATTTCTGAATATTCTGGCTATTTATAATATTATAATTATGATTATGATTTAAAGTACTTTTACTTTTATTAATTTCAAGTGGTAATTATGTCACCGACTCGAGAACTTGCCATGCAAACTTGGAAAGAAGCAAATAAATTCGCCAAGCAACTTGATATTCGTATTGCATGTGTTTATGGTGGCGTTGGGATATCAGATCAAATCGGTGATTTAAAGCGTGGTGCTGAAGTTATTGTATGTACTGTGGGCAGATTAACAGATATGTTGGCTGCTAATAAAGGTAAAAGGATTATAATCGATCTCATAGATGTTTCCAGTTGGATTATTTTTTTCTTATTTATTCCTTATTTATTTATAATTTTCAGGGAAAGTAACCAACCTTCGTCGAGTTACATATTTAGTTCTTGATGAGGCTGATCGAATGTTTGATATGGGTTTCGAACCACAAGTCATGAAAATTGTCAATAACATAAGACCCGATAGGCAAACAGTACTTTTTTCAGCCACTTTTCCAAGACAAATGGAAGCGTTGGCTAGGAAAATACTCGATAGGCCAATCGAAATACAGGTAATTAAATTTTTACAATCAATTGAGAGATCATAATTTTTTTGCATTTATTGGCTGCAGTTGATCTCGATTAGTGCAAATAATAATTCCTTTTTAGTGCCCGTTATTATTCAAATTCTTATCGTTCGGTTTCTTATGCAATTAGAAAGTAAAAAATTGTCGTTGCAGTTCAATGGAATAATTAAATATAATTTTTTATTTTATTACAAATAAAAATAATAGGAATATATTGATAATTTGAATATATGTTATAAGGCATTAATAAAGAGCAATAAAATGAAAAAAATTTTTTTAATACTATTTAATATTATATTATTTCTGAAAATTAGTTTAAATTTACGAGTATATTTTTGGTTTCTTTCGAAATTATTTTGGTGCTGTCTTTTTCTTTGATTCTTTACATCTTCGTATCCCTGGGAACGTGTGGTGGATAGAGAACTGCATTTTATATTTAATTTTAATAGTATTTTGTTTTCATATATTTAAATTTGCTTTAGGTTGGTGGTAAAAGTGTCGTTTGCGATGATGTGGCTCAAAATGTAGTGATCCTGGAAGAACATCAAAAAATGCTTAAACTTCTCGAACTTCTTGGTATATATTGGGAACATGGAAATGTCTTAGTTTTCGTGGAAAAACAAGAAAAAGCAGATGATTTAGTCTCTCAGTTAATGGTTAATGGATATAACTGTGCTCCATTACATGGCGGTATTGATCAGTTTGATCGTGATTCAACCATTCTTGATTTCAAGGCTGGCCGAATTAAATTACTTGTAATTTTTCGAATTATTCTTTGAAATTTCTTGAGATTTTTCGTGGGAATTTTTTATAGCATTAAAATGATCAATTTTTCAGGTCGCTACTTCAGTAGCAGCACGTGGTTTAGACGTAAAAAAGTTGATTTTGGTCGTTAATTATGATTGTCCTAATCATTATGAAGATTATGTACATCGGGTTGGACGCACTGGAAGGGCTGGTAATAAAGGCTTCGCATATACCTTCATTCTCTCTCATGGTGATTTTTTTTTATTATTATTAAGCAATTTATCCTCTGTCTTTGTTGTCGTCTTATAATATTGATTGCATATATTTATTTTATTTTTCATATATTTTTTTCATATACAATGCTATTTTTGAAAAATTCATCAGGTCCTTATTGAGTCCACTCGTTTTTAAGGCCAAGGCTGAATCTTGGTAATTAATAAGATGACATAATTAGTGTAGATATTCCAAGAAAGTAGAGTGAATCTAGTCATGTGAGATTCGATCCTGTTGGTTGGTGTGTAAAATATATTTTAGGCAAGAATGGTTAGTAAATAGGAAATAGATATAGATTTAGTAGATATTAAAAATAAATATTTTTTACTAGTTTTGGCCATAATATTTTGTTTGGAATTTGATCATTATGCTAGATTTCCACTGCAATTTGAACAATGAATTATCTGTGAATTATCGTTTTTGATCAGAAGGGTGGTTTCTTGACGTTTCTCCAGATAGAAGGAAGTGTTTCTTATTTCCTTCGAATTTCATTTATTATTTATTATTTATTTATTCATTTATTATTTATTTATTCATTATTCATTTATTTATTATTCAGTTTTTCCCAATAAGTCGGATAATGTGGATCATATAGTTTTATACTAAATCAAGAGCAAAATCAATGAAAGTGAATTCTGATATTTGAAGTTTAGTTCAAATACTGCCTTTCTTTAGTTTGGACGAGTTATTGATCAGCCATTCTAAGAGAATGCTTAAATGCTTAAATTATCCAGATATTTCGATAAGAGCAGACTTTTGGCTCCTCAACATCTATAATTATTATGATTTTGCACGTTTCTAGGCCGAGTTTTCGCTACAAATTCCTCAGCATGAGCTAAATTGTGGTCAATTAAAGTTTTTATATTTCTTGACTTTATAGCTATCCTTTAAATTTTGAGACTGTGCTTATCACATATACCATCACTTATGGTAATTTGATGATATGTTTTCATTATAATTTCGAAAAAACCGAAATATTGTTGCACGTAAGAGTATTGATAGACTCTCTCTAACCTTCCCATATTTATATCGTTTTTCTTGAGGGCAAGAACGTATGGCTGGTGAAGTTTGTCGAGCTTTTGAGACTGCTGGGAAAGAAGTACCAGAACAGCTAAAGCAAATGTGGGAGGATTATAAAGAACAAATGGCAGCTGAAGGAAAGACAGTTCACATTGGTGGTTGTGGTTTTTCAGGGAGCGGTTATAAATATGATCAGGTAACCAATTTTCTGAATGTTTTCTAAATTATTTTCTAAAATTTAAGGCAGAAGATGAAAAAGAAGCCACACGCCGCAAGGTAACTCGGTTAATGCATGGAATGGAAACTGCTATGGATGAAGATGATGATGATGAAATTGAGCAACAGTTAAGTAGCATGATAAAAGGCAAGAGGCGCGTTGTTGAAGGTTTTCGCTCTGGAGGACTAGGCTCGGGTGTAAATGCTGTTGGTGATAAGGTTGAAAAGGTACCATTTTTCATAAAATTTAAAAAATTAAAAATTTCATCACAATTTGCCAAAAATTTTTTAAGTTAAATTTTAATCAGTGGCATCTTAAGAGAAGAGAGAAGACTTGAGATAATATAGTCGGAGCAAGGCTGAATGAGTTCAGTAATTGGGCTTAGATTGTGGTAAAAGGGTTGTTGTATCGAGAGAGATTTAATAATAATTGGTAATTAATAATATTTATATTTATATTTTATAATATTTAGCAATAATAATAATCAGTAGTAATACCTGTCAAATCAAAAACAATACGTGTTAAAAAAAAAATAATATTGTTCATTTATATTTTTTAACTAATTTTAGGCTCGAGCTACTGCAGCAAAGATTGCTGAAGCAAAACAACTTGGTGTAACGGCACCTATCGAAAAAGATGCCACGGCTTTAACAGCTGAAGCAGTAATGCGTGGCAATAGTGCAGCTCCTATTGCTATCTCGGTACATTATTTTTTAACTTGATTTAACAAGTTTTTGTAGCAGTTTTTAATTTTTAATTTAAAAAAATAAATTAGAAGTTGGCTATATTTTTAATGAATAAATATGGCATTAGGTAAATTTACGAATAATAGTTGGTACAATCTATTTCAATTCGTTTCAACTTTTGGCTTTTCCAATTTGGCATCAGAAAGGCACCATATATTTAAGGATGGCTATTAGTCGTCATTTTTATAATTATAAAGTAAAGAGAACGGAAACGAGAATGAGAAATCTGAGAAGTCGCAATATTTTGGAAAAGAAATAAAGGAGGAAAGATACGAGAAATAAAGAATAAAGGAGGAAAAATGAAGATTGTCTTGATTTTAGGCAAAATCAATAGCTAAACAAAAAGCCGAACAATTAAATGAAAGATTGAATTATATGCCTTCGGAATTATTACCAGGTGTAGAAACAGAATCCGAATTACAATATTTCGAAGAAGAAATCGAGATAAATGATTTTCCACAACAGATTCGCTATCGTATTTGTTCCAGAGTTAGCTCATAAATTAATCAGTTTTATTAGTCTATTGAAGAAAAAATTCTATTGATAAAAATATTTTTTAAACTATTTTTTGAATAATTTTAATTTTAATTTTTAGGATATATTTCAAGATATTTACGGGATTTAGAAAATATTTCATTTTCAGGATAGTTTGGCACAGGTTCAAGAATACGCTGATGTTGGTATATCAGTGAAGGGTTCATACTATGCCAATAATAAAGAGCCAAAAGACGGCGAAAGAAAATTATTCTTATTTTTGGAAGCACGATCTGAACTTGCTCTTCGTCGTGCACGTGAAGAAATTTTACGAATAATGAAAGATACTGTTCGCCAAATGGTTTCTTTTAATACGTCGTAAAATTTTTACAATAGTTTAATTTATCTACTCGGAACTTATCTGTTAATGATTATAGTTTTTAATTGTTTTTAATCATAGTCATAGTTTTTTATAGTCATTAAATTTTAGAAATTTTTCTTAATGAGGCATGTTTTTTGCCTTGGGAGGGGAGGAGGGAAGAGAGGAGGCGGATAAAGATATAGATTGGATGCAGCAGGCATTACAAAAATTACAAGTTTTTTTCTTTCAGGCTCAAACTGGTGCTCGTAATGCTTCAACCGCTGGTCGATATAAATTATTCTGATGTTGATCTCAAGCTTCTGGAAGCCTTTTGTATAAGCAATTTACAATACTCATCGCCAAATATCGATTAATAAATTGTCCATTCATTATTTTAAATACTATTTTTTAATTAAAAAATTATTAAAAAAATCTTTTTACTTGCAAAGTTCATAAAAGCAAAAAATGGGCTAATACTAAATTTTTATATTCTTCTGTATTATATTATATTTTTCAAATATTCCAAATATTTTCTCACTTATTTATAAATCAGTTGGTTTTTAGTAGAGCAAGAAATTTTCACCATGTGAATCACCTAAGGATGGAAATTCGGATTTCTCCTCCTCTCTCCTGGCTGATTAAGCTTTTTTAGTGATGGATCGCGGGTAGGATGTGATAGTATAATCGAAATTTCTATGTCAGTGCCTTCAGGAATCTCTCGGGACCTTTTAAGCACTTCCATGTAGATATTTAGTATATAAGGGATTAAAAGTATTGCAGGTGCTCTTAATCAAATCAGCAAATAACACCACTAACTTAACCAAATACTTCTTGCTATTCGCTTTCATATTTTGTCTCCAAGAAATTCCTTATAGAAATAGGCGTCTTATCCGAGAAATATATAATACTAAACATCGGATGTTCCTCAGTTTCGTACGTTTAATTTTTTTGTGTTGTAATAGAACCTCAAGCTAAATATATTGTAATAATATTTAATGTGTTGGTGGAATGGCTCGAGTAGGTGAATCGACGATAGTGCAGCAGTCGAGAAATACTCTTCGAAAGGATAAAAAGGTTATTTTGAATTATTTTCAATATTATTTTGTGGAAAAAAAAAATTTTTATTGAAATTTGCAATAATTTAAGATTTTTATGATTTTAAAGTCCAAAGCACTATATACTAGGAAAATTCTGGGGTACTTTGGGATTCCAAGGTTATACTGAAATTCTGAAGATAGATTTCGATCTTACTCTTCGATTCTTTTTCGCTCACTCATTTTTCACTCATTCACTTTTCGCTCTTCGATTCTTATCTATATTTATTTCAAATCGGCGAATTTTCGATAAAACAATAAATAATTGTTCATTTCATTTTTTTTTCGTAATTCTACGTCTATTTGCATTTCCCATTTTTTTATAATTTTTTATTTATTTTATTTTTTATAATAATAATTTTTTTATTTATTTATTTATTTAATTTTTTGTTTATTTTTTGTTGTTTAATGCAAATAGAGAGTGTGAAAATATTTAAGGATGAATCGTTATTGGAAAAATTAGGAACACTTGGACGTAAAAAGAAAACAGTTCAACAAATGGAACAAGAAGCTGAAAATGAGGCTATCGAGGTGGATTATTTGATTATTTCTAATTTTTCTATGCTGGAAAATTGTTAATTTTAATTTGAAACAGTAACGCTACTACAAGGCTACTATTTTGTTTTACTATATTAGTTGAAACCAGAAAGACTATTAGAAGTTGCATTTTATTTACTTTGGAAACCTAAAATAGAGAGAATGACAGAACCAATATTTTTGCTTATAAAAGATTATTTTAACGAGTATCGTAAAGAAATCATTCAAAAAAAAAAATCCATTCATATTGGCTGCTAAAATTTATAATCGTCCATTTAGCCTTCTAGTTTGAATATGATTCTCGCTTTCGTGGTTTAAAATGAAGGTCGGCTAAATTTCAAATTAGCCGAATGTAGAAGGATTTTTTTATTAGAAAGAAAATTTATAGGTGGAAATTGAAGGTGCTGATGCTCTCGATTCAGCGGTTATTCCTGTTGCAGCAACTCCTCAAAGCCTTATTCTCGAAGAAGGTTTGATTTTTTTTTTTAGTGGAGAGATTTTTCTCCTAACTTTTTTTGTTTTTCTCTATTAATATTTTTAATAAAATTTTAATTTTTTTCAATAGAAGTAGCGTTTATTTTATATTGGTTTTTCGAATTTTTTAGGCGAGCAGAAGCGTTTTTTGACCGTAGAATCACGCGATGATCCCCAAGTTCAAAGTGTTATTCAGCTACTAATTAATTGGCTTAATGAGGAATTGTCATCACAACGAATTGTTGTAAAACATATTCAAGAAGATCTTTACGATGGTCAAATTATTCAAAAACTCATCGAGAAACTCGCAAATATTAAAGTTTTTTTTTTATTTCATTTCATTTGCGAAATTCATATGCGAATTTGAATATTATTCTGTCTAAATTGTTTTCGTTTAGATCGAAGTTCCTGAGGTGTCACAAAGTGAGGAGGGCCAAAGACAGAAATTGCATATTGTTATTGAAACAATCAATCGAATTATTGCGCAAGGCCAATATGAACAAACAAAATGGAATGCTGATAATATTCATAATAAAGTAAGTTTATTCCAAAATGCATGTAAATGATTTCATATAAATTCTGGTAATCAAGGAGGTTCGGTACTTCTATACTTCCACCTTAGTTCTTGTTATCTGCCAGTTGGAATATAATAATTATTTTTGTGTTATGTTAAAGGATGTTGTCGCCATAATCCAATTGCTGGTCGCAATTGCAATATATTTCCGAGCTCCAGTTAGATTTCCAGAACATGTAAAAGCCAATGTTCTTGTTGTACAAAAAAAAGACAACCAAATCAAAAGTCATTATTTGACTGAACAACTTACAACAGTACAAACCGAACTCGGCATGAAAGTAAATTTTTTTGTTTGCATTTATTTGATTTACAAAACAATTATATCAGTCTTATGTTAGTTCGTTTAGGGTGAACGAGATGCATTTGATACGTTATTCGATTATGGACCTGATAAACTGGCGCATGTAAAAAGTTCATTATTGGCTTTTTGCAATAAACATCTTAATAAAATTAATCTTGAAGTTACTGATTTGGAAACGCAATTTCAAGATGGCGTTTATCTTGTTCTCCTTATTGGATTACTTGAAGGATACTTTGTCCCACTTTACAGCTATTTTTTACAGGTAATTCTTGTAATTTAATTGTAATTTATTCTTGTTTTATTGAAACTCCAATTCTTAGAAATAGTGAATTCAGGTGCTGGATTTGCTTGGTACAACCATTATTTTATTAGTGATCTATTTTTGGTTTAAAAGTGGAATATTTTTTTATCTTTTTTTCACAGCTGATGTAGCTAATTATGAAATTTCGTAAATTTTAGCTAAAATTACTGTTTCTTTCAATAATTGCATTTTCTAGGTCACCAGTCATGAACAAAAAATACATAATGTGTCGCTTGCCTATCAGTTAATGAATGAAGCTGGTGTGCAGAAACCTCGCGCTCGCGTAAAAGATATTGTTAACGGTGATTTGAAAAGTACTCTTCGAATTTTACACTCATTGTTCACAAAATATAAGCATGCTTAAAAATTTAATTGTAAAATTCCTTAGAAACTTGCTAATTTATGAATATTTCTTTTACCATACTGCCAGTTTGTGCTTTTCTTTGAAATTGTAAATTTAACTGTTTTCTATGTGATGCTGCATTAGGTATAATTATATTATTACTAAATAAATGTGTGTTGAAATTTACAAAGTTCTGTAAATAAATTATGTTAGAATATAAAATGTGGCAAATTTCCATAGTTTATCAAATTTTACGAATTTAAATGAATTCCATTATTTATTATTATTCAATAAGTAAGGACAACTATTAAATAATATTAAATAATAATAATGAAATAATAATTAAATAATAACGATATTCAAATATTCAAAAGGAAGGAAAAATCTGGATCATTTTAAAAAGTATAATGGCGCATTCTTTAAATAAAGGAGCAATCATTCATGCAATTCCAGGTTTTTGGTGCTTATACATAATCAAAATCAATCAATAACTACAATTTGTTTATATCAAGAATACCTTCTTTTTGTCTATATTTATCAAACTGTTGAGCGATATCTAAAACAATACCATCATTTAAAAAATTGGCCATAATTTGTACACTAAGAGGTAGATCGTCTTTAGTTTTAGCAAATGGTATTGCTATCGCTGGCACACCAGCCATATTAGCAGGTTGTGTAAAAAAATCCTCGATACGTTCTTGTTGAAAACTTCCAAAATGATTAATTTCTTTAAAACGCGTAGGTGCACCACATGTCACGGGTGTTAATAAGGCATCACATCCATCACAAAAAACTCGATCAAAATCTGATTTTATCAAGCGCCTTACTCTTAGTGCTTGATTAAAGTATTCATCGTAATGCCTGAAGTAATATAATTAATAAAATTAAATTTATAAAAAAAATAATAATGATTTATAAAATTGAAATTTTAGATGAAATTAAAGAAATAGTGAACTTTTTCATGAGAAAATAATTCCCAGCAAATATCCTTCTTCTCACGACTTCATTTAACGAATCGCTTCGGGATTTGGAATAAAGAGAATGAGTAGAATTTGAATCCTTCGAACGATGACCATATTTTACTCCATCATATCTTAATTAAAATAAAGTAAATGAAATATTTGTAAAAATGTATGCCAGGTGGCCATTAAAAGCGCAGTTATGGCTTCATGTGATTTTCTAGTGAAAGAGTTATTCTGATACAGTTATCAAACCAAAAATGCTTCATGCAGGAGAGATGATAAAATATAAAAAAACCTGGCCATATTAGATGCGATATCTGCTTCAGCTATTACATGGTAACAAATAATTGAATATTCTGTATATGGCATACTAACTTCTTTTAGCTTGCAATTTAACGACGCTAAAAACTTTGCTGCTTCATTCCATGCAAGCCAAGCTTCATGAGATAGGTTCTCAGGAAAATATTCCTAAAATTCATTCCATATTTCCATTAAGATTCACCAAATACAACCTATAAAATCTAAGAACTGAAAATCTTACTCGAGGAATGCCAATAGTTAATCCAGAAATGGAACCATCTAAACCATCATTTCGCATAAAACAACTTGATGGTGCTTTAATGGAAGTTGAATCATTCACATCAATACCACACATAATTTCTTTAAAATGAATGAAAAATAAAGTTTCTGAAAATTTTTTTGCAAAATTTCGTCATTGATGCAGTAAAAAACTAACTTAAGAATCTGTTGCAATCAACCGCATTATTAGCAAGAATAGCTGGACAATCAAGCGAATTAACCAATGGGATTAAGCCGTGTCGAGATAAAATTCCATAAGAGGGTTTCAAGCCGAATATACCAGTAAATGCAGCCGGATTACGAGTTGAACCACCAGTATCTGATCCAATTCCACTAAGAAAAAATTTTTCAATCACAAAAAAATATATAATAAAGATTAAATTAAATTATAAAAAAACTTGTGAATTTGGCTCTGATGATTGATTAAAATAAGATTTAATGATTTATCTAACAATTCGCACTACTGTTAATTTGGCTTCCTTCACTGGCGACTACGACAAGATTAGGTTTTAAAGAGGTCTTTTAGACCTCTTTTTCGAACATGAAGTTTTCTAACATGAAGATAGGATTGCTTAGTGGGCTGTTGCTCAATTCGGAGCGCCTACTAAGGTTCTATTTCCAACAGAAATAAACTTGTCCAAAAATCCGAATAATGCTGGCGACTTGTCTATACTTTTATCGCCTGGAATATTTATCTAGTTCGACAAGCCAGGGAAGCGAGTTTAACCAGTAATGGTGAAAAATCTCAAAAAAAACATGAAGTCCATATATATCTCTAGACCACTTGAATTTATTTTATCAGTCCTGCCCTTGATTACATATTTTCGCTTTTGACGACAAGACTTAGCAAGATGGGGAACTTTTACGATGGACGTTGACCTTTTGTTTTGATTTCGTGGTAATTCCGAAGAATTTCTGCCATAAAAATGAAGGATACTTACTGCAACTAGGGGGCTAGAACTACATCTTTTTTTCAACTAATCTGATGGGAATCTAAAGCTTCAAAAATACGTAGAAATTACAATCATATCAGAATGAAAATATTTATATACATATAATATGAAAAATATATATATTTAAATATGAAAGACAGTTTCGTGTGATACTACTATGTTCTAATACTGATGTAATGATCTAGAGACTTCTTGCGTGTCCATGACCAAATAAAATAAATTTCTAATAATTTATTTAAAGATAAATAAAATTAGAAAAAAAAAGATGAAAATAAAATTAACACTTGAGCGAATCCGAGTTGAACTGCAACTGCGGAACCACCAGATGATCCACCTGGAATTAACCAATCTTCATCCAGCGATGCTTCATCACTTAAGCCATTCTTTACAGGTCCGAAAAAACTTTGTGAACTTGAAGTACCCATACAAAATTCATCCATATTGGCTTTTCCGATAATACAACCACCTTTATGAAAAAAATTTATAATCCATATAATGCAATCCATCATAAAATTATTTAATGCTTAGAACAAATGAGGTTTACTCAATGACAATTGTTCCTTGAGTACCTTATTATATTGCACCTTATACCACTTTCTAAACCAAAATTTTCATACTTCGGTCTCGAAAACATAGAAAATACAAGTGTATAGGTTCGATTATTGTCCTCTAATTGAAATAAATAAGATATTTCAATTAGGAAAAAAGGAAAACAAACCTTGATCAAGAAGCCTTTGAATAACAGTCGCAGTATAAGGTGCAATATAGTTGGCTAACATTTTCGATGCACAAGTTGTACGAATACCTTTCGTACTAAAAAAAAAAAGTTTAATCCTGGAATTAATGTACAAAATTTTATAATACATAAAATGATGCAATTGACATTTATTTTTGATTTTCGTCGACAACATTTATAACTTCAAAAATAATAATTTTATAAGTATTTTTTATTTTTACATATTTTTTTAAAAATTTTATTAAATATTTTTTCCCAAATTTCAATTTAAAATATTTTTTTCTAAATTTTGATCTTTTAAAAATTCTATAAAATAATTTTTTTTTTCTTTTAAAGGACAGATAATATAAACAAATATTATATAAATATTATTTATTATAAATAAATAAATAACAAAGTAAATTTATTTATTATTTAAAATTTAAAAAATAAAAATTAAAAATTAGAAAATTAGCAAAAAAAAGCGCTCACGCATAGCAATCTTTAACAACAATTGGAAATGGTTGGAATCCATTAGCTTGAGCGTTTTTTGCTTGAGCTCGAGCTATATCGAATGTTTCGGTAATTAGCGAATTGTATTTACGAAATTTTATCGCTTTTTCGATCGCACTTTCTATTTTCTCCATTCGTTTTGTAGCAGTTTAATTATTTTCATAGTTTTCTATAAAATTTAAAAAAAAATAATTAAAATTATACAATTAAAAATTAAAAAATCAAATTTCAAAATAAAAAATTTGTAAGGTTTATTTTAAATTTATTTTAATAAATACGAATGGTAAAATACCTTAGTGCATTTCATTGGTCTCAATTGGTTTCTTTCTTTTAAAAATCCTAGGAAATGCTGGCGATTCACCTATATTTCTATCGCTAAGATGATATTTGTCACCTCTCGTAAAATTTATTGTCTGATTTGATAAGCCAGTGGAGCGAGTCGAATCGATTATGTTGAAAATTTTTAACGAAAAAAAAACGACTAAAACCAATTTCAAAATAATATAATAAAAATAATAATGAATATAAAATAATAAAAAAGAGAGAAAAAATATTTCTAAAAAAATTATTAATTAAAAATATATTTAAAAATAAAAATAAATTAATATGAAAAATATTAAATATTAAAAATATTTTAAAAAAATTTCTTTGCATTTTATCGTTTTCAAAAAAAAAAATTTGAAAAATAATAGAAAAATAAGGTGAAAAAATATAAAAAATAAAATGAAATGAAAAAAAAGGGCAAAAAACTAAAACAATTCTCGCTTTGTAAAATTTGGTTTAGCTTGGCTTTTGACTTGAGTTGCTTTATTAAAAAAAGGTAGCTGCTAAAGTTTTAATTCATTTTTTAAATCTCAGGTCTTAGAGCGAAAACAATCGAAAATCCAGCTCATTCCGTTTTAGTTTTCCTCGACGCGCAAATATCTTTTTTTTTTTTATTTGAAGAGGTGAATATGGTGAAGAAAAGTGGGAAGTAATTTAATGGTAATTTTTCTAAAAAATTAGTTAATTAAATTCATATTTTAAATAATTATTTCTATTAAATATTATTCGTAAATATTATTTTTACAATTTAATATAATTTAAATATTATTGGTTCAGCTAACCCCGCTGGTCCCATTGGCCCCATAGGTCTCATTGGCCCCGTAGGTTCCGTTGGTTCCATTAGCCACACTAGTTGTTTAGGCTACAATCATTGATGGGAGCCAAAGGTTATGTTTTTATCGGATGCTACACTTAGGAGGAACTAAGACCACCTCTTCTCATATTGCACATCCACATATTGCTCATCCATGTGTATATCGTCGATATCTCTTCTGAATTTGTAAGTCTTGGCCGTGGTGTTGATTTTTCCTGGTCATTGATATCATCCATCATAATGCTTCGCAGTTGTTGTAATTTTTATAAATAATTGTTTTTTATTTTTATTTTCAGATTTTGGTTGTTTGTCGGCGAATCGATTTAAAAAAGGAGAATTAATTTCATTAAGGGTTAGCATTCTTTTTTTTAAATTTATTACAGGAGATTTCAACAAATTGAACAAATTTCAACAAATTGAGAAATACAAATATTATTCGAATGGAACGCCAATTGAATTTTTTTAAAAATTTAAAAAAATTTTAGAAAAAATTTTTTATGAAAATATATAAATTTGAGCTTCGTTATGAGAGAGTGAAATTTTCGAAATTTTTGAATTTTTTATATAAATTTTCCTTTTTCATTTTTTTTAAAATTTTTTTGCAAATTTCAACAAAATTTTTCTGAAGGAAAATTTTTTTATCCATAGTATTTTGAATTAAATATATTATATATTATGAAGTAATATATTACATATATTATTTTGATCGAAGATATTGTCCATCCAGTGGGAGAGCAAAATTATCTTCAAATTTATAGTCTTTGATATCGCAAATTATATATGTTTCCATAATATTCTTTCGTATCGTATCCCACTATTTTCACAACCGCAATGCATCTGCTCATAACATTTTATTCGTAGTGTTTTCTTTCGCTGTCCTATCATATTGCCTTTTTGCATAAAAATTGCATAATTGCATAAAAATATATCACAAAGTTATATATATTCAAGGCCGCAAGAAGCGGTCTGGTTCGATATCGGATATCAAGAAATTTGGCAAAAGGCTTTTGATATTGTCCCAGAGGATTTCAATAGGAAGTTTTGAAATCAGTTTTGAAATGGAGTTTGATAGAAAAATATAGCGAATTTTCATGTAGCACTCATATGGAGCACTTAGGGCATCGGATTTTGACCAGTTTAAATTTTAGAATGTTTTTAAGTTTTTAAGTTGTTATGATGAGATTTGAAAATTGTTTATATATGAAAACGTTGCTAATAGAGTGGAGCAATGATGTGCAACCTTTCATTTCCAAAAGGTCAAATATAATCTCGTTTTTTAGTTGAAGAATGGAATAAAAAAAAAAAATCTTTCATTTTAATGTATTTTTTATTTTATATGTAATTAATTATTAGAATAGAATCTAATATGCTAGCAGTGGTATTTGAATGTGGTATATTTCTTAAAAATTATGTAGTTTTTAGAAAAGCATATATAAAAAAGACTCAAGCAAAACATTAGATATGGTAGCAAATTTTTTAAGCATAAATTAAAAAGAACGCTACAATAGAATATCTAATATTAAGCTATATTTAGTTTTTTAATATATGTTGTATTAGTATCATAAAATTGTGTCATTATTCCTGTCTGATATTTGATAAACTTAACACACAGCTTTTTTATCGTCCGATTCATTTAATTTCAATGAAAAAAATTGTTCACACCAGGTATGCGTAATTGCAAATAAACATTAATCGATGGAAAATTTTAAAAAAAAAATTGGTTAAAATTAAAATAGAGTATAGATAAAAATAAAAATATTGATTTTAAAAATTTATTTTTTATACAATATATTTAAAAAAAACAATACGATTTTTCACATTTTTCAATTTTTTATTACTCTCGCTAGAGTTTTCGAAGGGAATTTTAAAAATGGGCTACTAGTTTTATTTATTAGTTTATAGCCAAAGGGGGCATTAAAATGAGAAATGAATGGGTTATTAAATGGAAATTATGGGGATTTCGTGGTATTGACTTAATATTTAGTGGAAATTGGTGAGAATAAAATATAATATAGATATTGCAGGTGAATTTTTCTCGGAACATAATATAGCAAATTATTATGTAAATTTTGGAATTTTTATTTCTTATATTCAACTTTTTGCGTTTTATAATTTTATCTCTATTAGCTATTCTGTGCACATGTTGGCGTGTAACGCTTTTCCAAATCTTCCGCTTGTTTTTATTTTTTAGCAAAAAATTAGTTTTGAGCTATCGGTTATTAATTTTTCTTACTCTATTCTTTATAGTAAATTTTTTTTTTCATCAATTCATCATTTACAATTTTTCTTCGAAAGGAAAAAAAAATATAAAAGGAAAAGATCTATTTTTTTCAAGAATGCTTCCTTCTATATTTACTGTTTTTAATTTTTTTATTGCAATTTTATTTTTTATTTCAGTTTAACACGCATAAATTTTTTGTAAATCATTGATTCGACTATATAAAATTGGAAAAATCGCTGGCTTGCATTAGGCAATGCGACGAACCATTATAACATTATTGTTATGCGTCGAATTATTTGTGCGAGCCGATGAACACGATCATCTTTATAATGATAATGAAGAAGTAGATTTTTTTCATTCGTTTTTTCATTATATTTTTTTTTTTAATATCATAAATATGTTAGTACAATTGCTAGTACTGTTATGAATACAACAAAGCAGCTTCAGTTCATTCCACCAGAAATTTGCTAAATACAAAGAAGTATACTGTTAATATTTTTTTTATTAGGTAGTGTTATGGGTAAATACAGTTGGCCCGTATAACAATAGGCAAGAAACCTATGCATATTTTTCATTGCCGTTTTGTCATGGTCCTAAGGAATCAATCGAGCATTATCATGAGACTCTTGGTGAAGCACTTCTTGGAGTCGAGCTCGATCTCTCTGGCTTGGAAATTAAATTTAAAAGTTAGTTTGTTTATATCTATTATTAAAATTCGTTTTGGAATTTGGCTTTGTTTTAATTTAAATAATGGATTTTTTTCAAAATTTTTTTTATATTTTTATATTTTAAATTTTCATCCTCATTCATCATTCATTTTGCTTATTTTAAAATTCAGATTATTTAAGATAACATAGAAAAAACGGTTTTCTGCCATAAAACATTAACTGATGAAGAATATAAATCATTCGTTTATGCCATTCACAATAACTATTGGTATCAGATGTATTTAGATGGATTGCCAATGTATGGTAAGTAGTTTTAATTAATAATTTAATAAACATTGCTGACGAACATTTCCATCTTTTTCCGTTGATGTTACTGATTATATATTAACAATCATTCATTAAAAATTATTTCAGGAATGGTTGGTGAAGTTGATTCATCCACAAATCCTCCAACATATAGAATTTTTTCTCATAAAAAACTTGAAATAGGATATAATGAAAATCAGGTGATTATGCTGAAAAACTTTATTCATTGGATTTTATTATTAATAACATCGTCTTTAGAAAAATATTGAACGAGAAATTTTATTTATTTTATCAAAGTAATTGTGAAAGATTTGCCAGTTACGTATTTGTATAGAATATTATCAAAATAAATCAGAAATTAGAAATTTATGTTAATAGATTTTCTAATAAAAGATTGTAGAAGTGATTTTTTATATTTATTTATCTTTTTTTATAAAATATAGTTTAAGTATATAGTTTAACTTATCTCAAAGATCGTGGATGTAAACTTGACATCTGATGTGCGAGTGCCTCTATCGCCAAATGTTGAAATCTCATTCAGTTATGAAGTTGTATGGAAGCCATCAACTATCGATTTCGAACGTCGATTTGAAAAATATCTTGATCCCTCTTTCTTTCAGCATCGAGTAAATTTTGCCATTTTTTTTTTTCTTTTCTGATATAAGTTTTTGAAAAATTATTTGGATCGAGAAGAAAGTTTAATAAGGAATAAAATTGGGCTCAAAATCAATATAAATAAAACGAAAGCGTTTTCATCTTTATATATAAGATGCTGATAAAATACCTATTTTTATCAATTCATTGCCGGTTGCTGGACTTTGAATATTTTGATTCACTCTATTCCCAAATAGCTAAGCGAAAGACGAAGTTACAACCCAGATAATAATGCAGCTAGAAATGTCTTACGGTTGATGAAATTTTTATGGAGCCGTCGCGAAATCACCATAAAGACAAAAATCCACGGCAATTCACTTGATCTTGCTGTATAGCTGCGAAGTTTGACCAGTGAGAGTGGATAATATTAAGAAGGCTATTAGCCTTTGACCACTCATGTCTAAGATATATTTTACGGATCCGTCGAGCGGATAAAATCTCATGATTGTATCCATCTTCACTTAAATACCACTTGCATTAATAATGTTATCTTAGAGCGTCGCCTTTGCTGGTTAGGCACATTCTCCGTCGTCCACCAGAGGAGTTAATACATATTTCATTACTTGCTAAATCCTGTGGTGGTTGGCGCCAAAAGCGAGGAGGGCCAGTCAACACTTGGACCGATGCACTCAGGAAAGATTTTGAACGTATAGGGGGACCAGCAATATATGGACTTAGATGATGGAAAAATGGTTTCTACTAGCTTACTGGCGATAGCCTTGTAGCTAGCAGAATCAGCCTAACCAGTAATTGTTAGAGCCGTTAGAAGAAGAAAAAGAAGGAATGAAGTTAAAGAGATAAGGCGATCAAGGATTATGAAGAAATATGAGATATTTCTTCATATCTCTTTTTGAAAAATTTTGGAATTCTTGAGCGTTAAATGTTATTTTCTGTGTGGCTTGCGTCAAGTAATATTTTTCCATTCAGATTCATTGGTTTTCAATCTTCAATTCGTTTATGATGGTGATTTTCCTTGTTGGTTTAGTTTGGATGATATTCATGCGAACTTTGCGAAAAGATTATGCCAGATATCAAAAGGATGAAGAGCTCGATGATGTGGTGTGTTCTTATCCGCTAATTTTAAAGATTTTTTTCGAGAATTTTGGAGGTGTAAATATTAGAAAATTCAAAAGTTTTGATTTTGATTCTTTTGAATTTAAACTTGATGTTGTTGTGGTTGAAAATAAAGAATTCAGGATATTTTTAATTATTCTTATGTTCTTTTGTGCAATCTTATTTCTAATTTTTTATCTCTTAGAAATTTTGAGCAAGGACTTTGAATCCAAACCTATATCATCAAATTTTGCATAATTTTTAAGGATCGTGACTTGGGCGACGAATACGGATGGAAGCAAGTTCATGGTGATATATTTAGAACACCATCTTTCCCCATACTATTTTCGTCGCTCATTGGTACTGGCTATCATATTTTTACGGTTGTTATTATAACCATAGTGCTTGCTATAATTGGTGAATTCTATACTGAGTAAGGTTTTAAGATTTACAAATTATATCATAATTATTTTTAAATTACATTCATAATTATTTTTAAATCCATTTAAAATTCTCTTTTTTAATGTATCATTTTTAAAACGATAAATTAATTCTAGACGAGGATCTCTTCTGAGTGCAGCAATTTTTGTTTATGCAGCGGCATCACCTGTGAATGGCTTTGCTGGTGGATCAATGTACGCTCGTTTTGGTGGAAAACAGTTTAGTTTTTAAACGCATTAACATTATCACACACTATTTTGCTTTTGATTTTTTTTATTGTCTAATATAAGCAAACAAATTTGCCAGATGGATTCGCCAGATGATTATGGGCGCTTTCTTGCTGCCATCAATTATTTCATCAGTTGCATTCTTAATAAATCTGATTGCGATATATTATCATGCTTCGAGGGCTATTCCCTTTACGATAATGATTGCTGTAACTGCTATATGTTTATTTGTTATTCTGCCATTGACTCTTGTTGGAACTGTTCTTGGTTTGTTCTTTATTTTGCATTCTTTATCTTTATTTATGCTCTATATATTATACTCTATATATGATATTTTAGGACGAAATGTCAAAGGACAAGGTGATTATCCGTGTAGAGTAAATGCTGTTCCGCGGCCGATTCCCGACAAAAAATGGTTCTTGGAACCTTGGTTTATAATTATGCTTGGAGGCATATTACCGTTTGGCTCAATTTTTATTGAGATGTTTGTTATTGATCAATTTTTTGATTTATTATAGTAAATATTAAAATTTTACTATTTTATCAATTTTAAATAAAGCTATTTAGGTACTTTATCTTCACATCTTTTTGGGCGTATAAAATTTATTATGTTTATGGTTTTATGTTTCTCGTTACTATAATATTGGCAATTGTAACGATGTGTGTAACTGTCGTTTGTACATATTTCCTTTTAAACGCGGAAGATTATCGATGGTTCATTTCATTCATAATTTCTTAATATTGTATTATTTTTCTATAATGTTGATCAGAAATCGAAAGACAGTAAATATTTGCAAGTTTTTCATGGCATTATTTTATGATTACTGTTTTAGGCGGTGGACGAGTTTCTTAGCAGGCGCTTCAACTTCATTTTATGTTTATCTTTATTCTATATACTATTTTGTCTTTAAAACAAAGTAAGTTTTAAAAATCTTTATATTTTATGTGCTAATTACACTTAATTAATTAATTATGCTGTTATAAATAAATAATGTTTTTCTGGTCGTTTATAGGATGTATGGATTCTTCCAAACGGCTTTTTATTTCGGTTATATGGGACTTTTTGGCATTGCTCTTGGCTTAATGTGTGGCACTGTTGGATATGTGGGTGCAGCAAAATTCGTTCATAAAATCTATTCAACTATTAAAATAGATTAATTTTTACTCAAAATAAAATTCTGAAAAAATTTATATAAAAATTGTTTTAATAAAAATGCGAGAAGGTCGTAATTTATAGTGTCGTTTAGTACTTTGTTACAGTTTGAACCATCAATTTCAATTCATAAAAATTTACCATTTTTTTAAGAATCCATATTTATATGGTTAAAATTTAATGAATTATGATTGCTGAAATAGTCGAGGAAATATTTTTTTATGGGCTCTCTAAATTGCAATTTCATAATTGATTGATTTTTAAAAATTAATGATTGTAAAATTAATGAAAAATTGCACTAACAGCGTAAAAGCTTTGAAACGATTCATTATAACTCAATATATTTCTGTTTGTTTTTTCTTTATTTTATTGTTAGATATAATAAAGAAAACTGGTTATTTTTGTATTTAAAATATTGCTAAAAATTTATGTATATTTTGTTTTCATTCGAAGAACAAAAATGCTTTTTCTTGGTATTTATTCTCTTCCCATTTTTCCGGTCGTATAATATTTTTTGATTTTTTGAATTTCGGAAATTTTGAAGTGTTTTGCTTAATTTTATTCTTTAATAAAATAATATTTCTAATAGATTGTTTCTTTATTTGGTCGATTTTTTTTTTGTTATTTTGTTGCTTTCCACTAATTTATTTTTTTTGTTTTATCGGTGGTTCATTTTTTTTTTCAAATTTATGGTTTACTAAAAGAAATTTTTGTATAATAATTTTTATGAAATGAATGATTATTTAATAGAAGAATGAATGGAAAAATGGATGAATTATTTTGGTTAATTTATTTGCAAATCTACGATTGGCGTAAGTGAAATGATAATATTGATATACTAATTGATTGATTGATTGATATACTAATTGATATGATATATTCTATTTCTATTTTTTGTTGTGCCCATTATTTATAGTTTATTTAGGAATTGAATCTGGTTGAATGAATGAAATGCTTCAAAATGAAAAATTTCCTAGGTTCTTTCCGATTTGCGCAATTTCTGATTGAATTGAAATCAACGTTTGATCAGCGGCCGATAATATAGCTGATGAATTATCAGAATTATCAGTGCGCTTAAAACATCAACTGGTGATAAGCGATATAGGAATAAATCGAAAATTTTTTAAAATAATATTTTCTAAAAACGTTAGAAAATTTTTGTCATTAATTGTGCTTATATTTTTGAATTTCTTATAATTTTTTTTTTATTAATAGTTGTTTGTGATTAATTACTTCAAAATCTAAGCTCTAAGCTGATAATTATTTTATTATTTCTGAATATTTTTTCCATTTAGAATGCGTTCTATGCGTTATTGATATGATAAGAAAAAAAAAAAAAGATTAGTGTCATTTGTGTCATTTCATTTAGTATTTCCTTTGAATTATAAAAAATGATAAATTAAAATTTTTTTTCTTCTTTTTTTTCGTCAGAAATAATTATAATAACATATAATATGATTAATAATAATAATAATATATAATACGAATTATTAAAAGAAAAAAAATTTTGGGCCAATTTTTATGGTTCTTAAAATTTGTGGCCATATACTTTACTTTTAGAGCTTTTTTCTTTTCTTTTCACCAAGTATTAAAGCGTAACACGTTGCTCGCCATAATTTTTTGATTTTCTCACCTCTCGACGGCAAATTTTCAATTCTTACGCTTCGTTTTAATAAATTCCGCAAAATGAATGAAACATTTTTCAAAAATAGGACAAATTTTAAAAATCAATGGTTTCGATTTTGATTTTGAGAGGTTCGCGGCCTTCTAAACATTCGCACTTTTATAATAATTCAAATAAAACTTATATGATGCTGGTGGAAATGTTGTATACTGCTTGCTGCTTGTAGTGATACTCGCTTTAAAAGTAAGCAGGTGTGGTATTTTGAAATAAACACCATAAAAGAACAGCAAAAAGAAAGAGCGGATTTTCTCGATAATCCATTAATAAAATAATAAATATAATAATAATAACAATAATAATAATATAATAATAATAACAATAATAATAACAAAAATAATAATGATAATTGATGGTGATAACAATAATAATAAAAATAAATAATAATAGTAACAGTGATAATAATAAGTAATAATTAAAATAATAATAATAGTAGTAATAATAATATTATTATAATAATGATAATAATAATGATAAAGAATGACCTATATAATATAGGGATAAAAAGAAATAATTTATTTGATTTTGTCATTATTCTTAATATTATTGACGTTTATTATAATATTATTGTTATTGTTGTTATTATTATTATCATTATTATCATTTTATTATTATTTTATTAATGGAATATCGAAAAAACAATAAACGATAATTAATGATAATGATAATAATAATGATAATAAAAATAAATAATATTTTATAATAATAATGACAATATAATAAATAATAACAATTAATAACAATGATAGTAATAATATTAATAATAATAATAACAATGATAATAATAATAATAAATAATAAAGAATGCACTATAATAGAATAAAAAGAAGTAATTTATTTGAGATTTAATTGTGAAGGACAATATGAAATATTTCGCAAAAATAGTAATTATAATAATACGAATAAAATTTTTTGATAATGATTATTAGAAGGGAATTAATAAATGGTATTAATAAGAAAAGGGGGACAAATTTTAAAAAGGTTTTTCATTATTATTATTATTATCAATCGAAATTGTTGTTCATAAATTTTATAATTATTTTCTTTCTTTCAGCCTTTATTATTTTCATTTTCCCACAATCCCCCCACCCTGTCCGTTATTCTCTTTTCTCTCCTTTCCCCCGTCCACCCCCGTCCATTTCTCCTAACCCCCACTTCCTACTCTCACCCTCCCCCCCTCCTCCCCATCTTCATCATATTTTCTATCTAATTCATTGAATTCTTTTTTCGAAAATTATTATTACGCAACAATAGCATCACACACTTATTAGTGAGAAAGGTCTTTTTATCATTCGATATATAATGAATACATAAATTATGTATATATATGTATGTGTGTGTATGTAAAAAAGTTAAGTGGATCCACGATTTCGCTAATTAGTTCCACTTCATCGGCCTTTTAGTTAGGCTCGCTTCACTGGCCATTAAGTGTTATTATCAGAGAGTCACCCACCTGGTGAATAGAAATACAGATAGATTATCAATATCGCTAGATACTATAGATTTTCCATAAAATATATTTCATTTTTCTCTTTTTATCATCTAAATATATGTTTCTTTTTATATAAATTCGATAAAAGAAAAACTGATAAAATGATAACTTTAATTTCAAAATTATCATAAAATTTTTCTTTATTTCTATATTTTCGGTGATATATACATTGTAAGAAGAGATTTTGATTCGAATAAGAAAGGTTGATTAATTTCAGGTCGACCTGTAATTTTAAAAATATTAAATAAAATTAATTTTAGATTTTTTGCGATCAAAACGATTAAATCGAAAAAAAAAATGCAAGTAAGAAAAAAATTATTCATTAATTATTATTAGGCATTAATAATAAAAAACTTTAAAAAAAACGAAAAGCCTAAATTTTATTTTTTTTCTAAAAATTATTATTAAATAATTATTAAAATAATTTTTATTCTTCACAAAAAAATTTTAAATTCTAAAAGAAAATTCATTTTTAGTAAGGAAAAATATTTCCTCCCTTTTAATCGATCAACAATAATCATCATCATCATCATCAATAATTGATTAAAAATGATCTTATCAGTTCGGCAGATCAATAAGTTACTCGTTATCAATAAAGAAGAAGATTTTAATTTACTAATGCTTTCAATGAATTTTTTTTTTTTTTTCTTCTCAAATAAAGATTGAGAAAGCGATAATAATGATAAAATGATACGCTCCCCGGTGTGTTTATCCATTGATGAGTGATGAGGTATATTGTTATATATATATATATATGTATTGTGTCTAATGGCGAGTGATGACGATGACGACGACAACGACGATGATCGCTGATTTGAATTGAATTGAGGAGGGATCACTAGAAAAGATGAATAAAAGACGAGAATGTGGAGGAGGAGGGGGAGGAAAGTAGGAGAATAATAATGATAATAATAATAATGATGATTATGCGGTCGGTCGGTCGGTCGCTCGGTCGGTTGGTCGGTTATCGGACGACGATAACCCAAGCCAAACCATCCAATCATCCAACCATCCATCCATCCATCCATCCATCCATCCATCCATCCATCCATCCATCTATCCATTTGTCGTCGTTCTCCTCGTCGTCTATCGTTCAGTCGTTCTATTGTGTATGTATCTTTGTATATTTATATACAAATATATGTATTTATATATATTTCTACGCGTGATATGAGTGATATGAGAAAGCGGAGCGGCTGATAAATGATAATAGGGAATAGCGAATAGTGTAGATGAGAAAGAAATGCGATGGTGAGGAAAAGAGGGAAATGGGAGATAACTGTAGAAAAGACCTAAGCAACCAGCTGGTAACATTAGCAGCTGTGAGAAATTAACAACTCGATATTGCATGCGTTTCTCGATGGGAATAAATTTGTTCTTTAGAGTCCAGAGTTTAGATAGAATCACCTGTGGATCTATCTTGAAACAGCTGTCGTATTAATTAACAAATCCGTATTGATCCCAACAAAACCAAAAATGGTGCATTCTATGGAATTATTATTATAGACAAATAAATTATTATAATTTTATTCCGTATTTGGTACATTCTCCTAAATTTTTCTTTCTTTTCGTAACTTTTTTATTTAATAGTAGTTTAGAGAAAAGAAAGAGGAGGAGAAGGAGAAAGGCAAGAAGAGAGGAAAGGAAAGAAGGGAAAAGGATAAAGGAATATAAAGAGAAAGCATTTTAAAAAATTCATAAAAAAAGAGAGATGAAGAGGAAAAGAATAAAAGCGAAGCGAAAAAAAATGACCAGAGGCGAAAGAAGAAGGATCTAAAGGAAAGAAGGAAATTGTTGAGGAAAAAATAAAAATTTGTTAAGATTAACTCTTTTAATCGTTAACTCATTTTGATAGGTAATCGAAGCAAGTAACTAAGCAAACAACCATTCTCATTGATTGTATATCGATTCTTTATCACTGCGACAACTAACTAAATCGTCAACCTAAATGTCACCTAAAAATTTCACATTTCCTCATTCTTTTACTATTCTCTCATCAATAATACGCTATCTGACAATTATAAATCCATTATCAATCATTAAATTATATTTGGTTCCATTTGGTTTCGTTTGGTTCCATTTGGAGCTCGAGTCGTACGCTGGTTCGACTGAAGAAAACTCGAATAGAGCTCAATTCTCGCTCTTTGAATCTGTGTTATATTAAGTCGAAATCGCTGATAATGAGAGCGTACCTATCCTCAAACGACTTTCTAAGGGAGAGCCTCACCTTGGTAATCATGTAGATCATAATGCCTCGAAAAAAGTACCATTTTCTTTATCCTTTTCTCGAATTCCTCTCCTTCCTTCTTTTCCTTCTTTAATACCCCCTATTATTATAACTATAAATGATAAATAATTGAGGCTAATAATTTTTAGTGAAAAATCGAGTCTAATGGAATCTAGTTTTGTACTGGTCATTGCTTGGCACCATCGTCCACCTTTCCAGTTTAATCTCTTCTACTCCTATTGAATTTCAGTACCTCGCAATTTTCCTCTTTTCCATTTTTATTCCTTGATTTCCTCTTTTTCTCTTTTATAATTTCCCCTTTAACCATTAGTTATTACGAAACAGGTCCACTCATTTTTTTTTTTTTTTAAGGCATATCAATATTTATTTATCTCTATTAATCTAAATTTATAACTACACTTTTAATCATTTCCCTAATATTTATTTTCTATTCATTTTCGTCACCATTTCACCATTTCACCATTCACCATTCACCAATAAAACCTCTTTTTTTTTTTCTTATCACTTGCCATACATTAGTTTATAAAATATTTCACTAAAAATGCAATTCAACAAAAATTGATAAATTTAATTAAAAAAAAAACAAATACAAAAACAAAAATAAATAATGTAATTGAATTTAGTATAAATTATTTAAAAATTTTATTTTATCAAAATATTTTATTTTTTTATTTTATTAATAATAAGAAAAAATTATAGAAAATTCCTAATAAAAACAAAAAAAAAAAGAAGACACAATTAAGAATCCATTGAGTGATCTCAAGCAAAAAAAAAAAAACTCTTTCTATTAAAAACATTGTTATTTTATTGGATAAAAAAAATATCAAAAGTAATAATAAAAATAATAATTAATAATAATCATTAATCAATAATCAATAATAGACACTTGACCTTTGACATGAAAAAACACAATTTGTAGTGAAAATAAAGAAAATTAAAAAAAAAAAAACAAATTGGACAAATGGTATACAAAAAAAAGAAAAAACGAAGCCAATCAGATCATTATTTTAACGATTATTATGCTCATTAGAAAAATGCATTTTAAAAAAAAAATACAAAAAAAAAAATAAATCTCATCAAATAGAAGAAAAAAATTTAAATAAAAAACAAAATCTATTATGCTAGTAACAAAGATAAAAAAAACACGAATAATAATAATTTAAAAGATAATTCGTTCATTTGGATTTTGTTGATATGATATGATAAGAAATAGAAAAAAATATTTATAAGGGAAATGCCAATGGAATGAATTTTACAAATTAAATCAATTACATTAATTAACTAAAAAGTAGAAAAAAATTAATAACAAATAAAGAAAAGTGAAAATCGAGAAATAATGATAACAATAATAATCACTTATGAATTGGGGCATTTTTTAGAGTAAAGTAATTCCTCCCCTCTCCGTTCTCCTTCTCTCCTCCTCCCCCTCCTTCTCTTCCTCTCTCTTTCTAAACCTAATAAAATTGAGGAAAAGCATCCTAAGTTAATAACAAAATTTACTATTTTTTTGAAATACTTTTTGTTCCTCTCCCTTCTAAACAAATAAAATTAAATTGATGTGAATTAATGAATATGAACTGATATAGTGATAACAGCGAGATGAGTGATTTCTCTGATAACTGATTAAAATCACGACGAAATTTTATGAAAAACGAAAAAATAAGTGAATAATAAACAAATAAAAAAAAAGAAAGTCAGCCGAAAAATAAAGAGAATTTATGATTAAAGCAGTAATAAAAAATAAAATGAAAAATGGAAATGTTAGGTGAAAAAAAATACCCGAAGGGCAGGGAAATAAAAAAAATTTTTTCGAAACTGCGAAGAAAAAAAAGACCAAATTCAAATTTTCTTATTTTATTAAGAATAAGTGAATTTAACCCTCTAATTTTCCTTTCAAATAATTTTTTAAATAATTCGAAATAAATTCACTCGAACTCTTTCCTACTATTTGGACATCAAATTATATGGCCACCATCAAATCGTTTTCTCTTCAATAAATTTTTTGCTTTCTTAAAAAATAAGCTATTTAATTGTAAGCTAAAAGTAATGAGAGAATTCAATAATAAGTAGTGTAATTATTGCCATATAAAGTTCAATGTGAACCTATAATATAAAATAAAAGCAATATCGGCCCTTATTCTCATTTAGACCATCATTATCAGCTTATCACTACCGCTAATCACAAAAAAAGAAACAGAAATAGAAGAAGAAAGGAATGAAAATGAAGGAAAGAAGAAAAGCTATTCGCAATAATTATATAATAAAAAATATACATTTAAAGCACAAATGAAAATATTTTTCACAGGTTGAAATGCGATGAGTATCAATTAATAAAACAAAAAAGCAATAACGAAAAATTAAAGCAATTCAATGGTTTTAAAATGTAAAAGTATTCCCTTTTTATTGTAAAGAGTACGATAATAGAAAAAAAGGGAAAAGGACCTGAGGGGGAGAGGGCACCGGAGGAGAAAAGCTATACCTGAGGGGGAAAGGTACCGCAAATGAAAAGAGGTACCCGATGGAAAAGGGAGAACGGTGATGGATGGGAAGACGAAAAAATCTCATTTGAAGAAAAGATTATTTTATCAATGAAAATACTTTTTGAATTACATAGATCTTTTACAAAAAATGCTTCAAAAAATAAAAATAAAAATGTATGAAAAAATTTACAAAAAATTTTCCTATATAAAAAAAACAATGAAAATGTCTCATTTATTCATTACTGCCAACAAATACTCTATATCTTCTTATCATTTATCATTTATCACCTTATAAAGATGCAGTTTGATTTCTTGCTTGTAATGCACTATTTGTATTATCAAATAATGAAAATGTTGACGATGGAAATTGCATAATTGATGAAATAAAATTTTGCGTATTTGTTGTAATATTATTACCATCGCTATCGTCTTTAATACGACGACGAAAACGTTGTTGTATAACATCTTTACGCATATGTACTGGACGATTCGTCTATAAATAAATAAATCTTATCATTTAATCTATAAATATATATATATATATAAGTCGCATAAATAAAACTGAATTTCTATTTTAAAAAAAATTTCTTAAAGGAATATATATATATATATATATCTAAATATATTCAAAGGAATAAAAAAAATAGCTTAAATGATAATTTTTTGATAATGACTATTTTTTCAAAGATTAAAAATTAAAAAAAATTTTATTTTTCAGTGGATTAATTCTTCGATTGTTCACCCTTTTTTTTTCATTCGCGCACGGTTCTATTTGTAAATAAATTATATATATTATAGAAAAAAAAAGTACGAACCCTATGTAAACGATAATATAATCCACAAGCATTACATACAAGTTTACCAGTTTGATTTCGCCTCCATGCTGTCGTTTTTGTCGTAAAACAATTCGTACAAAAAGCAACCAACGGTTTTTCACCATTAACATCTTCTTCACCCTAAATTCTTTAGATTATCGTGAATTACTTTTGTAAAGAATACTTTCATCATCGCTTGATCATTCGTATTTATCAACAAATCAAAAAAAATCTGGTACAAAACAAAACTAACGTCTTGTGATAATTCATTGATATTATCGTCGGTACTATTTGGTGTTGATGAAGGTTGAGGTTGCTGCTGATGTTGCTGTTGCTGTTGTTGTTGTTGTTGTTGTTGTTGCTGTTGCTGTTGTTGCTGTTGTTGAAGAATACCATTCTGATTATAAAGCAACGATAAAAAATTCTGATTTTGTGAATTCGCACTACTAACGGATATAAGATTCGCAGCGAACGTATATGGATCAAACAATGTTGTCTGATACTGAAATGCGTCTAAATTTGCTACTCGATCCATAACTGATAATGAGGGCGAATTAGCTGATAACTGAGAATTTGGTTTTTCTTCCATGCATGATTCCTTGAAAAAGAACTATTGCGAGCATATAATTATTTCTTTAAAGAGTTTAAAAGAATTATATTCTATGAAAAATGAGATGCAAAAAAAAATAAATCTAAACCTTCTGCAGTTTATGTATAGCACAACGATTCGGTTTTCTTTTTCGACTACCACTTATCACTGCACTATCTGTATCATTTGCATTTACTTCCCTGAATATATTTTTCTTTTTCAAGACGATAAACAATATTTAATCTGCAGCAGCTGGTAATTAATCCTCTGTTGATAAAATATGATAAGAAAAGATGAAAAGATGATAACAAATTTAAACCCTTCAATATTAAGTGCGGTTGAATCTATATCGAAAACTGATGGAGATGCTATTTCTTTTTCTTCAGTTCCGCAATCAGATACCTTCAAAATGAATAAAATTTTTTAGAAATAATAAGTTGTTTTGCCACTTTTTACTAATCCATCTAACTAATAAAAGTGGTGTTTCATTTCAACTAAGTGGATCGATGCCAAATTTTTGATAAGATCAAATCTGATTAAAATTGAATGAGTGGTTGCCAATCGTCTGTCAGCTTCAGGTAAAGGCTTTGTAGAGAAAAACGCTCATCGAACTAATCAACACAAAAGATGCAATTATTTCGAAAAATGATAGAAAAAAATTTAATTGAATCACCTCATCCTTAACGAAAACCTCTTGTAAGACTTCTTGCTTAATATTGCTCTGATTATCATCGTAAAACTGATTAGATGTATCAACAGCAGCATCCACATATTCACATCTCCTTTCCTTCAATAAATTATCAACTCTGGCGTATAACACATCGATTTTTGTCGTTAATCTTTCCAAACCTTCCTAAAATCATAAATTTTACAGCTTAAAATTTAATTTAAATAAATAAAAAAAATATTTTCTCAAAGAATGGTTTTAATAATTTATTTTGGAGTCGCGAAACCTTGGAAACCTTATATTCACCTTATACTAATGCTTATCATAGAGCCAGAGGCTAAATAGCCAAATTAAAAATTCAATAATCGAAATCAAAATCAAAAACATCGAAAAGATTTATTGTTTGGAAAAACCATTCAGTGCCAAAGCAATTCGATGATCATCATAATTATCTATTATTACAATTTTTTATCAATAATTTTCATCTAAAAGAATTATCATAGATTTTCTACAACTATCTTTTATCTATTTTCGATATCCTTTACCATTCAACCAATTAACTATTCTTATCAATCATTATCTTATTTCCTCATCAAGAATTATCTATTCATATGAAAATCTTACGAAGGATTAACATCACTTTCCTTATTATTCCGCAATTAATTTTCGTATCTTTTTCTTAGTTTCAACTAAAAAATTAAAAAATTTCTAAATTTTGCTAAATTTTTCAAAAAAAACAAATTTAAAACGGTGATAATAATAATAAAAATAATAATAATAACAATAACAATAAAGTGATAACATTTAATTGCTGATATAATTGCCGACATGATGAGCAACCAGGCGATGGAGGTATTTGTATTGTTGGTTGGGTTACAACCATTGTCATTATGCAGCCACTTCTTTATCCTATACAAATACTTACTGAACCTTTTTTTCAAAATTTTTTTTACAAATCTGAAAAAAAATGAAATTTCTTTAAATAAAAAAAATTTTAACAAAAAATTAATTGAAAATCGCGAAAATAGCGGAAACAGAAGTAAAGTAATCAAATAAATTTTTAAAAAAAAAGCTTGAAAAAACAACTTAAAAATCCTCTTTTCATTTATCATTTTTTTCACTTTTATTTACAAATTTTCAACAATAAAAACAAAATATAAAAAATTGAAAAATAAAATATTGCTTAAAATAAAATCAATCACAAATATAAAAAATTATGGTTGTGAGTGGCAATATAATTATTTAGAATGATAAAAATGATGGCGATAAAAAAATAGCCAAAAATATTTAATAGCCAAAAAATGCCAAAAAAATAATTAAAATATTTAAATATGAAATATAAACGACCGTTCGTTTAAAAAAAACGGAAAGGAAAAACATGGAAATATCTTGAAATAAAAACAACGAAAGAAATGAAATAGAAATATCCCAAATATATCCTAAATTTAGAAATATATAGAAATATACTGAAATTAGAAAATTAGATAATGAAGGAACAGTAAGATAAGGAGGCAAGAGTCTGAAATTAGATGCGCCAGTCTAAACAAATATTATTGTTAATTAAATAATAATTATAACAATAATAAATAATAATTATTCTATAATTTTTATTGCAAAACAAATAAATTCGTGATTTAATTTCAATAAATTTAAATATTAAATTATTAAATTTTTTTTTCGAATGAATCAGTGAATGATTAAATTTATCTAAAATAAAATCATTAGAAATTTAGAATTATAAATATTATTAGAAAGTAGAAAACAACATTAAAAATCTAAAAACACTATAAAAATAAAACTATCCCTTATCCTTAACAAATTAATAAAACAAATTGCATTACATTAGTGATAATGTTTGTTGATAATAAGTCATAACAAAAACAAGGAGAATAAACGACAAGAGAGAAAAAGGAGGAAATATTAATAAAGATAATGCATAGTGATAAGAAAAATAATGATATAAAAGATAATAAGAAGCGATGGAGAATGATAACAAAAGATCATTGATAAAATGATAACAACCACCATCATTTAATAAAATAAAGCATATGAAACAACCAGAAATTTTAAATAATTAAATTCAATAAATAATCATTTTGCCCAATCAAAATTAAATTAGTTTCAAAAAATTACTCAAAAAAATTGCAATTGCAGAAAAACTGCCGAAAATAATTTAAAATAAAATTTAAAAAATTTGTTAAAAAAGCTGGATTTTTATCAAATAATTTGAAAAAAAATTGAATTTCTTACCAAGTATCGTTTCTTAAATTATAGACTGACTGATATGATATAAGTGTCAATTCATTGAGAACTTCATATATCCATTGCTTCACCTCAAATGATAACTTTATCACAACTTCGCGTCACGTTAAATAAAAATTCTCCATAATTTACATCAGTTACCACTGGGCTTAATTTAAGCCTTAGGGACTAATAAAGAATCGAACAAATCCTCAGAGATGATGATATCTTTCTTCAAAAGCTAACGATAAAAAAATAAATGAATGGTAAATATGAAATGATAAAATTCTAGAATTTTGCAAAAAACAGTATAAAATACAAAAATGATTATCAAAAGGTGACTGTTTGATAGCAATAAGTAATAAATAAATAATTAACTTGACAGGAATAAACAAGCACTCAAAACCACCGATCCAGAGCAAATAAGGATAATTAATTATAACTAATTATAATCTTACAAACAGCGATGAGCGATGATTATTTTGACTGATAAGATGATAAGAATCAATACTGCTGTAGTGATAATGATCTGTTGAATGCAGACAAGAAATTCAATCGACGATGGTTAACAAGCTGCTTGAAATGATTTCAATATCAGAAACAAACTGATAAGGGGGCATCTCTAATGAAAAATATAGAAAATGCGACCTTGCAACAAAGAAATCAAATATCACCAAATGTAAAAAAAAAAGAAATGACATTTTCTAAATAATTCAGTGAGAGAGAGAAAGATTAAAATAACTTTGCAAGCTGGTTCGATCCCTGTCTTTTAAAAGAAATAAAACTGTCGTTAAAAATGAAATCCTGATAATATAGTCAAATGGATGAGTGATAAAAATCGAATGATAGCAAATAATAAATGGTAATAAACTGATAAGGAGTTAATAACCATGATTTAAATGAAAATAGAAATTCGAAACGACCTCGACTCGGATGCAACAAATCAACAACGAACGACACGGGATGATGACGATGATGATGGTGGTGAAACAACCAGTTAGCGATAGTGAATCATATAACAATTGAATGCATGGCCGTCACGACAGATGAGGTTAGTGATAACGACTAATGATAAAATGATAACGATTTATAAATCGAAATGGTAAATATATATTCAGTTTTATGATCGCAAGAAAAATTGTGAAACAAAGAACCAGCACTCCAATAATGAATAACAAACGTTATGCGCAGCGATAAGGAAGCAATGAAAGTAATAATTAGTGATACAAAAAAGGAAAAAAAGGACACTTGAGTATTAAGTTCGAGTGATAAAGAGATAGATAAAGGACGTCTGAGCAGCAAATTCGAGTGATAAAAAGAAAGCTAAAGGATACTTAAGTGATAACTTCGAATGATAAACAGAGAGCTAAAGGACATTCGAGTGATAAATTTAGGTGATAAAGAGAGAGCTAAAGGACAAATGGTGAGGACATCCAAATGATAACGAAATTCCAATGGTAAAGAGAAGGCCAAGGTGTGTTTGAGTGATAAGGAAACTTGAGTGAAAGAAGATAATTCAAGACCTGAGGTGAAATTTTTATGATAAAAAACGTCATATAATAGAAATAATTGAACATGATAAATGTGTATTAACAATAAAAACGACAATAGAAATGTACTGCGTCAAAAAGAATTACATAAATAATCAATCAGAGTGCTTGCAAAATAAATTAATCAATTTTACTTCTTATCATTTTTATCACAATAAAAAAATAACAATAAAAAACAAAAAAATTTCATAATATTTTATAAACTTTTTAAAAATAAATGATAAACAGAAAATGAATTAGTAAGAATCGCATCGCCTCATTCGATATCACTCACTGATAAGATCACCAATGATAATCACTGATAATCAATCAACAGCAACTTTAATCGTCGACTTTATATGAAAGCATATAGCGTGATAAGACGACTCAATTATAGATTGATTGCGAGAAATAGAGCGCACAACTACCTCACTCAGCATTTATCTCCTCCTAAATAACAATGACAACGCGTAAACAGTTTTATCAGAGGGAGGGATACTCTCTCTCCTCTCTAACACACTCCTCCCTCCTCATTATCCCTCTTACTCAACTTTTATCCCATCTTCTCTTATCTTCCTATATTCTCTTTTATTATCTCGTCAAACCTCTTCCCTCCATCTTATTGTGACCTCTCTTTTCATCTCTAATGTCCTCCTATTTATCACTATATTCTCACTCTCTCTTCCATCTTTTTTTCTTTTCCCCTCTTATTGTCTCTTCGATTTAAATAAATTTCCTTGAATTCAAGAAACCTGAACATCTATAAATTACCGTATTTCGTCTTCTATTAACAATTGCGTTCGTTTATTTTTATTTCTCAATTGACCCGTGATTATTACACGTGATTCTTTTATTTACTTTTAGCTAGGCTCGTTTGTTTTGGCCAAATTACGATAAATCTCATGGCCACATTGCAATCCTAGATGATTTTTGTGGCCGCGGCCGCATTATAATAGTTCCTGCGGCCACAAATGATTACAAATTGCGCGGTCGAATCTCAATAATTTACATGGCCACTCATAGCGTATTTCATGGCCACACTATATTGTTGGATAAATTGCTTTACTCGAATAGCTAAATTCTATTTATGTGGCCCTATATGTAGTCCAGTATGGACCAATTTCATCGATTGAGTGGATCTAACGAAGAAAGTACCAAAGGAAAGAGGGCAACAGTATAAGGCAGCATATTCTTGAATGTAACGTGAAAGGGTAGAGAGAAAGTCAAATGAGCTAGCACTAGTTAGCACTTTTGATTAGGCTCGCTTGGCTGACTTATTGCAAATCAGATAAATTTTGCTGGATAAATTCGAAATTTATCTCTAGCATCATATGAATTTTTCATTATTCTTATCGAGATTTATCAGCAATTTTTTTTTTTTTCAAAAAATTTTTAATGATTTTTAATATATTTTTATATTTTATTTTTTTTATTAAAAAATTATTATTATTAATTTATTATTTTAAATATAAGAAAATTAACAAAAGAAAATGTTTTTTTTTTCATTATAATTTTTTATTTTTTATTTATATTTATTGAAAAGAAATAAAATTTTAAGCGAATTTATAATTTATTAATTGAAAATTTAAAAATATTAATTATAAACCTGGCTTGGCTGATTGTTTGAAAATTGCCGAGCTTTTTGATGCAATTCCAAATTTAAGAATAGATTCAGCTATTTCTCTTTTCATCATCTAAGTTATATATCATAGCTTTCTGATAACGTCCACGATCATTGGCCATGTTTAGCAACCATATAAAGAGATAATGATGCTAATAAAGGTGATAAAAGATAAGGAATTTTATGATTTATCAAACAAGTATTTCATAAAATGAAAAATCGTCTTTCGTCAATAAATAATGTAGTATACAGTTATGAAATACCGAAATACCAAAAAACCCTTCGAAAATCGTCTTTCGATAATTAAAAATTCACCACTTTTTCGTAATGTCAATGATTTGTCTAAAAGCGAACTAATGAAAATTTATCAATTAATGTTTCTGTAAAATTTTTATCAGTTATATGAATCACGCTATGCCAACGAACTTTTATGCAAAGTCCATTTACGAGTTAGTGATTTACCTAAAATTTTATCAGGACGGATCCAAAAAAAAAAAAGAGATGATAGCAGAAAGAATTTTCAGATGTATCGGCGAAGAATGGAAAAATCGAGAATTGATAAACGAATGAACCGTAAAGAAGGTGAAATAAAGTCGTGAGGACACACCAATATCTAAAATATTGGCTTATTGTTGTTCAATCAAGGCTCGATCTATTTTTGCAAATTCCATGGCAATGATCTAAAGGTGTTGCCAATTTACATAGATTCGTTTGGCTTGGCTGACTCGTCAGCCAAGAATTTGGCTAGAGAATCACTTGGCCAGTTGGTCATTCTTGATTATAAAAGTTTTTTTTTTTTTTTTTAATTTTAATACTATAATTTAAAAAAGATTTTTAGTGGAAATTGTTATTTTTAAAATTATTAATGCTTGTAGTAAAATAGAAATATTCGAAATTCTCTTGAGGGATTTTTTACTTATTGAATTTATGAATTTATAATTTATATTATTGCAAATATTGCAAATATATGTTTGAAATTTAAATTTAAAAATACGAGAAATATAAAATTATTTATAAATAATAAAATTAAAAAGCGAAAATATTTATTAATTATTTTTAATTTTATTCATAATAATAGTATTGATAATAATTTTAAATATTTTCATTATATTATATATTAATTATAAATATATTTGTAAATATATTTTACAAATATTTTCAATTTTATATTGTATATTATTATATATCTTTTATTGTATAATAATAAATACCAGTGAACGTAATATTTTTAATTTTATATATTATTCATCCATAATAAATTTAGTAATATTAATGTATTAATATTATTAATATATTACTATATTATAATTAATATATTAATATCAATATTTTTAAAATTGAAAATGAAATTAAAATAAAGTTTGTGTTGCAAATTGAAAAAACTTATCTAATCTTAAACTTTAAATAATTATTGAGAAATAATAGAAACAATTACATTAATTAATTATAAAAATATAATGATTAAATAGTAAAAAACAATTGTTTCATTTATTCATGATAAGAATTTTTGATCATTTTTATTATTGATAATAAAAATAACTCTGAATTTGAAGAGAAATTTCAATGAAAATTTGCTTGTATAATAATGAAAATTATTACTAAAATCTACTATGATCAAAAAAAATTTTTTTTATTCAATAATTTTAAAAAATTAGGTCAAAGGATTAATGCGATAAGAGATTTTTTTTTCGATATCAGTATCATTTATTTGTCGCAAATCTCTTATCAATATTATCAATAACATTCGATTCATCCATTCATTGTCCTTTTCATCACAAACAATTTCATTTTTTTCGATGATAATTTAAAGATGATTTATTTGCCATTTTAATTTTGAAAATTAAAATAAGAACATAAATCATCATAGGGGTTATAGGTCATAGGGGTCGCTTGATTAAAGTTTTAAAAAACTGAACGGTGAATACCGATATTTTAAACGAGCTTTAAGAGCTTTAAACCTTTTTGACCTTTCTCTAACTTCAAAAATGACCTTCGTAAGGTATTGGTTAGCGCAAAATTTCTTATCAAATCGATATAGGGCAAATGATATTCATCTTCTATGCAACGCTTTTTTTCTGCTTTCATTGGTTATCAATTGATATATTATGAATTTCATAAGGTAGCATAAGGTCATAAGTCAAAGAGAATAGATTAAACCTTATAATGAAAACAAATTTATTCAAATAAGTTTATTTAAAATAATCACATTTTTTTTTCGAAGATCTCATTTTCATTGCAACATATATTTTAAAACGATTTGCAATCCCTTCAAATTGCAATAAATCGAAAATCAGTCAACTTTAAAATCATTTGAAATTGGAGATGCCGTTTTTGGTCTATTCAATTATTTTATTCGAAAAGGTTGGCATCTGATAAAAATAAGTTATTTTTTCCAAAGTATAAAAATAAAAATTTGGAACCACTTGCTTTAATCAATAAGAGAAATTCATACTTCAAAATTCTTCGTCCATAATTTACAAAATCTACTCATTTACTTATAGAGAATCTATTACCAAGTTTCCATGATGATTCCAGCAATTATGAAAAAGGAAAAAAAGCCTGAAAAACTGAAATCCCATTAAACATAGAAACACAGAAAGTAAAACCGGACATGAAATATGAAAGAAAAGTGTGAAAAGAAAAAGCTGCTATCCCCTGAAAAGAATGAAAAAAAAAATGCAAAAACCGAATTAGGAGAGTAAAGAAACATACACAAACACAAAAATAACAAGTTGAAAACAAATATGAATAAAACAAAATTCGTAAAATCATAAAATCATATATTCATTTAATTCGTTTTCTTTTCTTTTTCCACTTCATCAGATTTCTTTTCGACTAAATGTTCTTCAGAATAATTCCACATTTCCCGTGCATCTCCTTGAAATTTGGCAACCATCAATGGAATGAATAAGCATGTTGGCACCAAATATAAAAGAGCTGGTTGCGCTGCCTAAAATAGATCAGAAAACAATTAGAATTTTTTATCAGAAAAAAGGCAACTGAACATGTGTCATAAAATACACAAATTTTTAAATAAAAAAAAACTGGATTAACAAATGTAAAGTAAATAAAATTCCCCGAAATCAAATCATATTTTGATTTTGATTTGCATTTCTTCTATATATTCTAGTAGCTCTTAACATTAGGGGTTAGGCTGGCTTTACTGACTATGAGGGATGTTTCTAAGCTATTAGATCTGTCGCCATCGTCAAAAGAGCAGTGTGATGCAAGCAATATTTATACTGTTTAAGTCCATACATTGCTGGTCAATCTATACGCTAAAACTCAAATCTTTACTGACCGTATCAGTCCAGGTCTTGATTGGTGTATCTCACTTTTGACGCCACCCATTACAGGATTTAGCAAGTAAGGAAATGTGTACTCTTGTGGCGGGCGACGATCTGTAACGGTAGTATCAATGCAGGTAATTTGAGCGAAAATAGATGCAATTGTATGAGATTTCACTTGTTCGACGAGCTCGTAAAATGCGTGCGGTAAAATTTAAGTAATTTCTTAATATTCTCCGCTCTAATTGGCCATGTATCGTAGTTATACAGCAAGACTGTGCGAAATGCACCTATATAGCTGCAGAATTTCGTTTTTATGGTGATTTCGCAACGAGTCCACAAAAGTTTCGTTAACCGTAAGAATGCATTCCTAATTACCGTTATCAAGATTGTAATTTCGTTTTTTGCCTGGTTGCTTCGGATTAGAATGGATCTAAGATAATAAAAGTCTGGCATTTCCTCGACCGACGAATCTATGAAAATGGATATTTTATCAGCTTCTGGTGTATCGAAAAAACTTTCGTTTTATTTTCATTGACCCTGAGTCCGATTCTCGCTGCAGTTGCTGACACGATTTTTAGCACTATTTGCATTTAGTCATAACAGTCAGCAAAAAAGGACTACATCATCAGCGTATTCAAGATCTGTAATACGATGCTCTCGATTAATTTGTAAATCTCTTGAATGCCGACAAGTATCCATTAACTAGTCTATCGAACAAATGAATATTATGGAAAAAAAGACGTAGCCTTGACATCTGCTCTTTCTTACCAATATTTAATAAAAATGTGATGTCCCAGAAAGAGCGTTGGAAAATAGCACAAAAATGGAATAGAAAAATGATTGCTTGCTCAAGAAATAAATTTATCAAACCATTTATTTGCATATGCAATGGATAATTGAAAATTTGATGGAAGAAAAAAGAAATAACCTTAAAGAAATGCATAACTGCCATCGTCACAAACAACCCTAAAGCGTAAGCAGCAATGGTTATGAGGAAATAATGCCTGTTTCTTTTGGGTGATTTTTTAATAGAACCAATCCGATGATCAAATCGTCGAAGTAAAGCGATGAATATGCCTGGGATCACAATATCGCCCAAACCTAAATATTTGATAGTAAACATTTAAAATTATAAGCAACTGTTTCGAATGAAAAATAAAATAATATGAAAATATGTGAACCTAACATAGCATGTTTGCTTGCATCACGCCAACCATTTCGATAAATATCTTGTGGCATTTGCAGTAGAATTGGAGCATCAATTCCTTTTGCTACCGTTGTCATTACATCAGTAGCGAAAACCCAAAATACATCATAAACGAATAATCCAGCTAAAAGTACTGCTCCTGCCTTAAAAAAAAATCTTCAAAAGAAACGATAAGAAAGCTTTTAGAATTTTTTAATAATTTAAATAAAAAATTAATAAATAATTATAAATTTTAATTTAATTGCAATTAAATGAAAGAAAATAACAAATAAGAACAAAATACATTGCGAAATTTCTCAGAAAAGACTATTCGGACATAAGATAAGAGAATTGGTTAAAATTTATTAGTACTTCAAAAATAGACAATTTTTATTTCCGTTTGAACATTTAAATCAAAAATCAAGAAATCAAAAAAGCACCTTGAAACTTCCCAAATGTAAATTCTCGATGCCATAAATACAAAAGGCAATACCCAATAAATTATTTGTTATCCAATGTCTTTTATAAAGATGTGATATAGCAACAATAGAACAACATGATAAGGCAACCATATCATGAGTATCCCATTCTACTTTCAATAAAAATTCCTAAAAACATGGAAAAAAATTAAAAAAATTGTTATGAACCTACCGTGGAATTTATAGTAGAAAAACCTAAAAAACACTTGGAATTAAATTAAATTTACCGAATCCTTCTTCGGAGCATCTTCCAAATCACCTTCGTTCATTTCTTTAATTCCTTTCTTCAACGACCAAAAATATGGTAAATTCAATTTTGGCTGCCTTCCTCCGATGGGTAGTAAACGAAGAATGAATGAAAATACAGGTTTGAGAATGGTAGCCAACGCAACACAACCTTAAAATTTCATTATTGCTCAAAAAATTTATTATTATTAATTTGATTAAAAATTAAATTAAAAAATTTAATTTTATCAAAAAAAAGAAGATAAAATCGGCGAAATTTATAGATTTGCTAAGTAAACAATTTTTTCTCCATCTAATAGCATTCATCATTTCTAACTGATTAGCAACTGACTAATGGGTTGAAATCTTTTGGAAGCATAGACAGATCCAATATACTCAGATTACATAATATCACATAATAATATAGATCTCAGATCTTTCTTAACTCGTGTGCCAAGGAGTAGTAGCCGAACTCGTGATCAGTCGAATGAAATATATCACTCGTCCACCCAGCCCCTATTGAGAATGTTACTTTTATTCGACTCCTATTTCTTTAAGTGCTATGAAGTCACGATAATAAACATCAATATCGACATAATTAGCAATGAATCAAAAAAAGAAGCATACCTTCCCAACATATAAGAAGTAACAGCATAAACATAACATTTGACTTATTAAAAGCTGGCAAATTTAAGAGAGCTTTTCGGAGAAATGTTTGATTAGAAGAAGAGTCAATCGCTTCTGATGACCAAATTGTTGAATTTAAAACATTGATCAGCTTTTGAAATTGTACGGGCATTTTTGGTTGGATAGTTTCGTTAAAATATACTAATGCGTTAGTGCGACATGTCGCATCACATCTATAAAATTTATATATAATATAAAATATCTATAAAATTTAATATATACAATATCTATATCCATAAAATTTAATATATATAAAAATTTTATTATATATAAATTACATTCATATATAAATTTATATATAATAAAATATAATAATATTTCATTAAATATAATAAAATTTATATATATTTTTTATGAATTTGTAACAAATTATATATATAAATATATTTTAATGAAAATAATATACTAAAAATAATTCACTTAAAAAGAAACAACAATTATTAGAGTGTCAAAAAAAAACTCTTATATGCAAAACAATCAAGTTAGTCCATTTTAAATTTGGAATTCAGCGAAACGATCCACCGAGTCTCATAAAAATAAACTTATCGCGCGGCCTACTTAATTACACCTTTTAAAAGCTAAATCATCGCTTTTTCAATGGCAGATCATATAAAAAGTTAGATTAAAGAAAAATTTCACCAAAAATTTTTCATCATTAAAACGAGAAAAATAAACAAACTTAAAAAAGATATAAAGACCGAAAAGTACACATGAAGCTGTAATTGGAAATTTTTTCGCTGAATTCATCGATATTGATGTTTCAAGTAATTTTTTACGTTCAATCATTTTTTTTACAAAATGTAATGATCGAATACTACCCAAAATTATACAAAATAATGCCATTCCATATAATGAACCATAAGCTGTTACCTAAAATTTTATTAGAAAAAATAAATAAATAAACAAATCTGAAAAAAAAAAATCTGTTCGAAATATAATGATGCCTCATATATATATATATATATATTTATAATATTATTAAAATTTATTAAAATAATATTATTTAATTATTTAAATTATCTAAAATAATATATTATTACTATTAATCTTTTAATATTACTAATAATATTATTAAAAATTCTTTTTAGTCAATTTTCTCGATTCAACCAATTCGAAGGAATAGTATGGGATAAAAACACTTTGACACTTTAATATCGACAGTGGACAGAATAGTTTTAGAAAACTGATAGGAATAAGCTTACCATTAAGAACGAAACCTAGTTTGACTAGTGCAGTTCCATCTTTATCAAAATATTCAAAATAGGCTCTTTACGAAATAGGCTTAACAGTAAATAGAAGCCAAGTAAATCAAAAAATCTTCACCTGTTCATATGGAAGAAATTTTATTGTATCGTTTGAATTACTATTATTACTAATATTATTACTGATATTAATATCAACACTAATATTATTTGAAAGAGGCGATTGCGTTGACGTTGCCATTATCGCTGCTATCCACATATTTCCTTTAATTTTTACCTGAAAAATATTTAGAGAAAATTTATATTTCTGAATAGTCGCTTTTTTTTCTGCAGAAAATTTCGGTAATTTGTAGTTAAATGCGAATCCTTAACCCTCGAGGACCTTCACAACCCTCAACAACCCCCTCCCCTCTCCACAATAACCCTCTCTAGCACCGCAATGGCATAATAAAAACTCTCAAATATCAACTGAAAATTTTTTGCTGACAACTCATTAAAGGACGACAAATTCGGAGGAAACGCGGCTGCGGTCAAAATTTTGTAGTCCATGGTTAAAATATGGCCATTGAGATTAAAATGCTGCTAAAAGCCAATGGATATATGAAAATATTGGAAAAAATTACTGATGAGTGGACCGGTACCAACGCGGTTAATTGTGGTTACACCAACAGATTACAAACGCAACTGCAAATGCAATTCCTCTCAAATGTCTGCAACAAAACCTATCAATAAAGGTGAAAGGTGGACTAAAGCTAACGAGTCCTCCTTGCCTCCATCTTCAAATAAATCCTAGCCAAAATCATTTTGAATTATCAGTACAGCCAGCTATGGAAGTCTATTGGACTAATATTATGGAACAAAATCCCGTTTCATTCACCTTAGCTTGACTATCACCTGAATTAATAATACCCGTTATACATTGGTAGCTAGCTGGGCCATATTCTTCATCGTCCACCTCTGGAACTGACGCATTTCTCGTTTTCGGCCGAGCCTTTTGATGGATGGCTTCAAAAGCGAGGATGACCTACCAAAATTTGAACTTGTTTGGTTACATAAGATTATGAATTTAGACGGCCTAGCAATATATTGGCTTAGACGATGGAAAAAAAAAAACTTGGCTTCAGGAACGATATTGGTATGGCAGATTTGGAAGTATTTCACCATAGTGCAGTCAGCCAAATCACCAATATGATACCAATGGGCCAATGGAAAAAAATACTTCTTAATTTTCATTTCTTTTTTCTTTTCTTTCCTGCCCTTTCCTATACTTTTCCCTTTATTCAACCATCTTTATCGCTAATGTTGTCCTCCTCTGTCATTCCTTTTCTCACTCATTTCCTTCCTCTCTCCCACTCCTTCCTCTTCCATCTTCTTTTTAACCTTCCATACCTTTACCCATTTTTGAATTTTTTTATTCCATAAATCCTACTCCTTTGCCAATTTTTTGGCAACCAATGAGCTGCTGGCAAATTTAAAACGTCATCGATTTTCTCTGTTTTTATTGGATAGATTCATTTTTACTCCGCCTCCTCTTCTTTTTACACGTTAAAAAGGCTGGGCAATGGGCGGGATTTTCGTATGGAAGGCGTAGCAATCGTTTTATTGCTCAGAAGTATATTAGTGTGAAGTGCAGCCAGCATCGTTGTTAGACTTTGTGCTTCGTTTTAAGTGATGGCCAAGCCTTATTTCAAATTATTTATTTCAGTATTTTTGCTAATTTTTGCGATTGGTTTGTTTCTTTTTTATCTTTTAAATTTTTTTTTCAATATTTTTAATAATTTTCCACGCGCTTCACGTGAAAAACTTATAAATGGCATTATGTATATGACGTAGATAACTTACGTGAATAAAACGTTAATTTTGATAATGACGTTTGAATAAATTTAAAAAAAAACGTGTAACATTTAAATGAAACGATTAATGTGAATAGTATTATAATTTAGCATTAAAAAATTTACCAAATTACCAAACGTGTGTTAATCTTTTATTTTTGACGTTTTTTCCAGAGTTTTTTTTTTTAGATTTCTTATCGGTAAATTTATATGAAAATTATTTAAATTTTTTTTTAAATTTCTTAAATGATAATAAATGATAATAATCAATAATTTTCATTATTCATCGTTATTTATCAGTATATTTAATTTGAAATGAAAGGAGCACTGTTAAGCACTTTTAATATTCATTAAACTTTTCATAGTACCACTCATTGATTTCTGTTTTAATTGGTTCCATTGGCCACTAGAATAAAGCAATTCTCCTTACCTTATATAAATTTCCTTAAAGTAATCGGAATCATACAATTTTACTAAATTATTATTTTTCATTATTATTATTGATACATTGAAAATATATTTTCCAGGTTTTTATCCGAAAACGTATGTAATTGCCGAAGATGAATTGATTGACGATGATGAAATAAAAGTTAAAGAGAATTTAGCAAAAGTAAAAGAAGGTTCGAAAACGGACGATGAAGTCATTCTTAGGTTTCATTTTTGTTGTTTATTTTATTTCGCTTTATTTCCTGGAAAAAAAAGTAGAAAAGTTGTTATAATTGCTATATCTTTTTGCATTTTTATATCTTTTCCAATTTTCGTGATTTATTTTTAATAATTTTTTTTTGTTCTTTTTAATAGCGTATTAGTTTAGCTAGTTTCACTGTTTAATCATAGGTTTTTCACTTATTAATTAACACTTTTTCACCAAATATAAGATAAGAAGATAAGAAATATTAGTGTATTATCAGTGGATGGCCGACACTTATTATTTTTTAAATAGTTATAAATTGTTTCTTTATTCTTTATTTTTATTTTTACATATAGGAAATTCATTTATTAAATAATTTTTTATAAATTATAAGAAATGAAACGAATTTACGAAAGTTTTAGATAAATATTGCTTAGAGGTCAACGCAAATATTTAAATAAGATACAAACGTATGTTGATGGTGTGTTTACTTTGATTACGATTGCTTTTCACTTGAAATAATTTAAATTTTTTTATAGGGAAGGTGAAGCGATAAAATTGGATGGTTTATCAGCGGCTGAAGTAAAACAGCTAAAAGATCGAGCTGAAAAATATGAATTTCAAGCAGAAGTTAATCGTATGATGAAACTTATCATTAATTCACTTTATAGGTTTTCTCTATTTATTTTTTTTATTTTTGTGAATTGATTATTTTCAAATCTTTCGTATTTTGGCATAAAACATGAAATTACAGTTTGTAGGAAAATATTTTGTATTTTTTATTTTGTATCAAAAATAAAATTATATATTCTCACATTTCAGTTTTTTTGTTCATTATTATTTTCCCTTTTTTGTTATTATTTTTTAAAATTATTTTTTATTGGCTTTTTAGAAATAAGGAGATATTTCTTCGTGAACTTATATCTAATGCAGCTGATGCTCTTGATAAAATTCGGTTGATATCATTAACTGATCCAAAAGCGCTTTCTGCTACTGAAGAACTCACCATTCGTATTAAGGTCCATTGCACTTTTTTTGGTTCATAAGGATTATCTATATATTTTATTTTCAATTTTCAATTATTATTATCAAACGTTTTATTAAATTAAATGAAAAATTACTTCAGGCCGATAAAGATAACCATATTTTGCACATAATCGATACGGGTATTGGTATGACAAAAGATGAATTGATAAATAATTTGGGAACAATTGCCCATTCGGGAACATCTGAGTTCTTGTCAAAATTATTAGATTCAACAACTGAACAGCAACAAGATTTGATTGGGCAATTTGGTGTTGGCTTTTATTCAGCATTTCTTGTGGCTGATCGTGTCGTTGTCACGACAAAGCATAATGATGATAAACAGTATATCTGGGAATCTGATTCCACATCGTAAATTCTTATTTTTTTCATTTTCCTTTTTTTTTCTCTCGTTTACACTCCAAATAATCTCTTCAATCTTTTTTGTTGAATTTTTTTTTGCGAAAGGAAAATTACAGAATTTATAAATTGGAAAAATCAGAATAGACATTCCTGTTTCAGATTCACAGTTGTTGAAGATCCACGAGGTCCTACGTTAAAACGTGGTTGTCAGGTTTCTCTGTATTTAAAAGAAGAGGCGCAGAGTTTCACAGAACCAGACACCATTAAAAGCCTAATTGAGAAATACAGTCAATTCATCAATTTTGATATACATTTCTGGGACTTAAAGGTTTTAAATCTATATGTTTAAATTTTTATATCTAAATTTTTAAAAAGTAGAAAATTATTTGCAGATTTATTCAAGAGGGGAAAATAAAAAATTTTTTAGGTTTCAAGCCTTTCAATTCTTTTCAGTGCTATTTTTCTCATAAAAAAATCTGTTGTAATATTTAGGTGGTAACTGAAGAAGAACCAGTAGAAGAAGATGAGGCGAAGGAATCGAAAAAAGAATCTGAAGATGAAGATGGTAAAGTGGAAGATGAAAAAGAAGAAAAGAAAACAAAAAAAATTGAAAAAACTGTTTGGGATTGGCAAAAGATCAATAATGTAAAACCAATTTGGATGCGTAAAACTGATGAAGTTTCAACTGAAGAATATCATGAATTTTACAAGACCGTCACTAAGGTATTTACTCAAGAAATTCAAATTAAATTTACAAAATTTTCTGAAAAATCCCAGATTTTATCGTTCCATTTTCGAGGAAGTACTCATTTTCAGGATTATGATAAACCACTCTCTTATGTGCATTTTATTGCTGAAGGTGAAGTGTCATTCCGATCAATTTTATATATACCGAAGAAAGGACCGCATGATATGTTTCAAAATTATGGCAAGGTAATGATTTCTTTGGGAAAAATTTTTATTATATGGTTGTAATATTTTTAGGGTACTGAAAATATCAAATTGTATGTGCGACGTGTTTTCATAACAGATGACTTCGAAGACATGATGCCAAAATATTTATCGTTTGTAAGAGGGATCGTGGATTCAGATGATCTTCCATTGAATGTGTCTCGAGAAAATCTTCAACAGCACAAGCTATTGAAGGTATTTACTATTTTTTAACTCATATTTTCACTCATATTTTTTTATATGGTTAAATAATGTAATCTATATTGTTATGTTAAAACATTATAAACATTGCTTCAGGTGATCAAGAAAAAATTAGTTAGAAAAGTTCTTGATATGTTGAAAAAAATGGAACCTGACGACTATGAAGAATTTTGGAAAGAATTTAGTACAAACATGAAGCTGGGAGTTATGGAAGATCCTCCAAATAGAATTCGCATATCGAAACTTCTCAAATTTAATTCTTCACATGATCCAGTATGAACATTTGTTTTTTAAATGTCATCTCTAAGAATCCCTATTTTTTCCTTTATTTTCAATGTCTTCTTTTTTTCCTATTTTTTTTTATTAAAAAAAATTTTTTTTAAAAATTTTAAACAATGTTATAGATTAAGCAAACGAAATTGGCTGATTACGTATCACGTATGAAGGAAAAACAAGAAGCTATTTATTATATAGCTGGCGTATCACGTAGCGAAGTAAATTTTTAATTTTTTATATGCACTTAATTTGTGTACATCATTCCTTTTTAAATATTTTTATAAGTAAAGCGAAGGAATTTCGGTTTATCGTCTTCTTCACTCACTCCTTTTTGGTTTGGCTAGGTGCTACCTTATTTAGAATGAGGTGTTTTCTCCAGTGAGTTATTTATGGTATGTAGGATAAATATATATATATATATATAAATACTTAATTTAAATACTTTAATCAAGGTAACGAATTGCTTGGGTATCTTCTTGTAATATCTCTCACCATTACTGGTTAGGCTGACTATACTGGTTACAAGGGTAGTACTTTTCCAAGCTGTGCGATTTGATGCCATTGCTTTACCGCCTTGCTCTCATTAGTTTTTAAATATATATTATATTTATCATATTCTTAACGATGTCACTGAGTTTATAAATTATTGATTTTTTAAGGTTGAGTCATCACCTTTTGTTGAACGATTACTTGCAAAAGGTTATGAAGTGCTGTATTTGACTGAAGCTGTTGATGAATATGCAATCCAGTCGATGCCTGAATTCGACGGAAAGAAGTTCCAGAATGTTGCTAAGGATGGACTTAAAATTGATGATGATTCAAAAACCCAGGAGTTGCAAGAACAACTGGAAAAGACATTTGAACCTCTCACGAAATGGCTTCATTCCACTGCCCTTAAAGTTTGTTGCGCACAATCTTAATTTTTGAATTGTTTTTTTGAATTGATTAAAACTATGATCGTACTAGAAAAATCATCGAGAGTCAAGATAATATAGGGCAGTGGACTCTAAAACATCCGATGAATATTGTTTCCTCTGGTATATTGTCATAAATCAGCCATATGCACGATTTCTATTTCGGAAAGGTAGCTAGAGCAATTTTAAGAGCCTCTAAAAGACTCGGATTCTTTAAAAGCATATTGGAGTGAAATGGTCACTGAATATGGATTCGACTGCTCGTGTAGGCTATAACGAAATTAATTTTAGGATTTGATTGAAAAAGCAGTCGTGTCACAACGACTTGTAAAATCACCTTCAGCTTTAGTCGCATCGGCTTACGGTTGGTCCGGAAATATGGAGCGTATTATGAAGTCTCAAGCGCATTCAAAAACGAACGATCCTACTCAGGTGTTTATTTAGAACATTTAGTACATTTCAGCTTTTCATCTTTTTTTTTCTTTTTTAGTGTTTATTTTCATGCCTAACTCCAAATTTCAAGTGAATTTTTCATTTTGAAAATATAGGAATTCTACGCCAGTCAGAAGAAAATATTTGAAATTAATGCTCGTCATCCGGTCATCAAAGAGCTGCTTCGGCGAGTCGAAAGTGATCCAGAGGATCCGACAGCCCTTTCCACTGCTAAACTCCTTTACGAAACTACTACTTTGCGGTCTGGTTTCATTCTTAAGGATCCAGTAGGTTTTGCCGAGAGAATAGAACAGGTTAGTCAGTTCAGTTTAGTTTGCTTTGAACATTTTTAAATTTCTTTTAATCCCGAATATTATGAATATTTTTATGAATATTTCCAGATACTCCGGCAATCAATGGGTGTTTCTTTAGACGAAAAGGTTGAAGAGGAACCGGAAGTCATTGTTGATGATGATGAAGAATTAGAGCAAGAACAAAAAAGTGAAGATAAAATCAAGGTTGAGGAAGAGCATACAGAACTTTGAATGTAGAAATCTTGAGATGACTAATGGGTGATTTTCAATTTTCGTTCTTTTCAAAGATAGCCTTGAATATTATACTAATAACTTTGTTAAATATGAACATTGAACTGTTTTTTTTTTTTATTTTCAGCACCTCAAAATTTTTATTTAATGAATTTTTGCGTTTAATTCATTAGTATTCAATCAATGAATTTTTGGAATTCTTAAAATTTTTTTTTTAAACTGATGGATTTTAGTGCAATTTTTCACAATATATACTTATTAGTTGTTAAATATCTGTCGCATTTGAAAATTTTTTGTTTTATATGCATTGTTGAGTTATCCGTTTATATTAATTTATTATCGTAAATAAATTTCGATTATTCGTCATTATTCATAGTGAAATAGGGCCGAACATTTGAAATTTTAGTATAGGAAACACGATGAACGATGAAATGTTGTGAATGAAGACTGGAAATTGAATAACTGGAAGTTGTGATATTATTTAACATATTTTTATTCTATTATTTATTTTATTTATTTATTTTTTATTTTCGTTTATTTTTATTTATTTTATTTTCATGCGGTGCTATTTGTAGTGAAAATTATTTCGGATGGTACTAATAATTAAGAAATTATGATGAAAGGGGTGGGAATCCATAATGATGTAGTTTAATAGGATCGTTAAATCTATTTTGTAGAACAATTTTGTATAGTGTAACGTGGCTGGTCTAATAATTTGGCTATGTACAATGGAGGTTTTAGATTAATTGTTGGATAGTTGACATCTTAATGATACATTTATATTGCTCATAAAGCTCAGATATAAGAGATACAAAGTAAGAATAGTGCTATCAGTATTATTAGATAAATATTATCAATTAATGAGGAGAATTTCTAATTTGTCGTCGATTTTAGTAATATTTTGTTTCGATCTTAGCAATTGGCGTTTTTTTTCTATCCTATATGGTCTGTTATTTGGTCCTCAACGAGTTTCTCCTCCTCTCCTACCCAAATCCTTTTCCAACATCTTTTTTGTCAGTAATAATTCCGTTTTTCCTCCATTTCTTTTCCTTTATATTCTTCATTTTAAATTTTTTTTCTTTCATCCCCGAATTATTTGTTTTAAAAGAAACGCTTATCGTATTTCTCGGTTGGACTCGCTTCGTTGGTCTCTCGTTTGTTAGAATCGTTTAACGAAGATGGATAATCTATCGCTTCACGTCCCCGCATTTTTGTACGACACGTTTAATTCTGCCTGAGGGTCGTGAAACGAGAACGACAAGCCATTCATTCACTCGAGCTATTTCATAGAAATAATTCCTTTTTTAAGACAAATTTTTAATTTTATTATATTTCCATATTTTATGTGATTATATTTTTGAATTTAATTATATAATTTAATAAAATTATAAACTATAAATTTTTTTTTCTTTTTAATAAAATATTTAAAAGAAAATTAGTTTATCGGTGATAATAAATAACGATAACCCAATTTTTTTTTCTTCTTTTCAATTAAATTTATTTCAATAATTTGGAAATAATATTTTTTAAAAAATTTTCAATTTAATTATTTTCTTCTCGTATTTTAAATAAAAAATTATATTTTATAATTATATAATTAATAATTAAATTATAATTATATTAAATAATTATAATTATTTAAATAAATAAATATTATATAAAAAATGACTACATTTATTGTGTAAAAAATATATGAAAATGGAATTTATTATATAAAAAATAATTTTTAGTAGTAAATTAAAACATATTTTTCATTAATTTTATAAAGATTAAATAAAAATCTTTTTATTTTTTTAAATTTTTTTTTTATTCATTTATTCAATTAATTTTTATCCAAATCTTTGTTTTTTTCGAGTAAAAAAACTTCATTTTTCCTGAATTTCAGCAAAATTATGAAAAATAAATAAATTTAATCGAATAAATTTTATTATTTTATTAAATTTTTTATATAAAGTCGGTCGATTTTTTATTTCATAATAAATGAGGTTTCATTTGTGGGCGGAGCCAACTGGGCGGAACGGATGTATCGGCGCGTCGCATTCAGAATTTATAACTGTGCTTAATTAAATTTTTGTTATTTCAATATCGTCACTTTTCTATGTATATAGATGTATAAATTGTTTTATGGAAGTTTTCGGTGAGGGGAGTAGGGGAGGGTCACCAGTACCATCTGGATTTTCGAATGGCTGCCGAGAGTCGAACCGCAGGACTGGCGTTTCGATGTGGACCACCATTGCTGGCTGAGAGGGTAAATCTTGTTCCACTGACCTGTCTGCATAAACCTGTATAAACCAGGAAGTTCCTTAGACGATATAGAAGTACAGGTAAGTCACCTGCTAATATTATCTGAATTTTCGTATTTACGCGTCGCCTACCTTTCCTACCTTTTCTATTTCATTTTAAATATTTGATTATGATTTTTTGTAGGATAGGAAGTTATATGATTTATTAACTATTTATCTATATTTAATTATAAAATGTTTCGAAATATTTCGAAATTTTTTTATTTTTTATTTTTCGAAATTTTTAAAAATTTCATTTTTTTCTAGTATTTTTATTGAAAAAGGAAGAGAATATTAAACGAATAAGAAAATAAAAGCAAAAAGAAATTCATTTAGTCGATGGTATGTTTTTTTTTAAATTAAATTAATAGATTTTTTTTGCAAATTAACTGAATTTTTTCTTTCTTTGATTTTAACAGTAATAATTAATTAATAATTAACAGTAATAAATAATATTAATTACAATAAATAATATTGATATTAATAATATTAATAAATATTTTTATTAATATATAATAATTAATCAATAAATTAATTGTGTAATTTGTGATCACTAATAATAATTAGTCGAAATACTATTTATTGAATGTATTCGAAGTTAATGCAATAAAAATTTTTAATAATTATAAATAAATTTGAATAATTTTAAATAAATTTAATTTACATAATTTTTAATTTAAAATTTTGCGAAAAACGTTTGCGTTGTTATAAGTTCAATATTATTCAATATTAGCATTGCAGGAAATAATTGCTAATAAGTGCTATATATTGGAGCATTTAACACTGTATTGAGAAAGTACAGCGAACAAATATAAGATTTAAGAAGATTTCAAATGATTAGGCGACGGCATTTGATGAGAAAATGTTAAGGTAATTATAAGAATATAAGAATGTTAAGTGATTCGACAAAACCAGTTAATTCTTTGCATTTTGCACAATGGGTTCTCATTTCGTGTCGCCGATGTCGAGCTTTTACTTAAGACAAGAGTAAACCTCTTTCTCAAAAGTTCGAATGATGCTAACAACTCGCCTATACTTTTATTGCCAAGTGATTCATTGGGAAAATTTCACTGTTTAATTCGATAAGTCAGCGATGTGTGCCTAATCAGGAATGGTGAATACTCCTATAAAATAAAAATTTATCTTATGTAGGATTTAATTTGAAAATTACGCTTTATTATTTATTTTAGCGGAAATTTCGATCTTTTCTTTATTTATCTTCTTATTTATATTTTAATTTTTAGTTTTTTTATCGTTTTTCGTCACGAAAATTGCAACGAAGAATGAAAAATGAAAAAAAAATAACTTTAGCCGAAAGATATTTAAGAATAATTTTTGCTGTTTCTGCTTACTGGTTTGTATATCTTTTCAATTTTTTGTCGAGTAGTTTTAATTTTCCTTTTTATAATTTTTTCATAAAATGTTGCTAATTTTTATTGTTTGATCTTTTAGATGATTTTTTAAAATATATCTAGGAATGAGCTAAAAAAAGCTGTTAATCATGAAAAATTTTTATTTATTCAGCTATGTGTTTTTCGCAAAATTAAAAATATTTTTGCTATATAGTTTCATTTTTATTATATAGTTCAAAAATTACTTGCTTTAGCAAAAATTATAAATATTAATTTACCATTTTTCTTTCAGGATTTGCTCTATTGGTCTTGTTTTTTTGAATAAATATCTTCTAAGCAGTGAAAATTTACAAGTAATTTTCATTTTGTTTTTATTTTTTTAGTCTCAATTTTAATGATAATATAAGAATTTCAAATATAATTGTTGAATATATATAGTTTTTTTATCAGAAAAGTTGAGAATAATGCTACAACAGCCATGGCGATTTTATTTCTAATGTCAGGTTTATTCCTGTTGAAAAATAACAGTGGAATCTGCATATCTTTATCTTGCTGAAAACAGCATATAGCTCAAGCCATGTTGGATTCTAAATGCGTGTAAGACTAATTTGCTGATTTCAAGTAAACGAAATAAAACATTGGTAGTCATTGGGAATTCATGTTACCGATAAGCGCTATTAGTGCTATAAGTGCTAAAATTTTACAAATTCACGAAACTTTAACAAAAGGGCAGAGAAAATCGTGTTTGTTTGCTAATAATAGTTTTGTTTTCAGCTAGATGCACCACTTTTCATTACTTGGTTCCAGTGTGTTGTTACAGTTCTACTTTGTTTTGGCTGTTCATATATATCGAATCTTTTCCCAGCTTTTCTCAAGTTTCCATCGATGTTTTTTGATTATAGAATTTCCAGAGAAGTTTGTTTTTATTAAATTTATTGAATAGTTTATATTCGCGCAAAATTTTTTTCTTTATTAAAGCTTTAATTCATATTAAAGCTAATTTCAAATTTTATATTAAATATGAAATTTTTTCATTTATCGCCACAAGTAAGTTTTTCAGGTATTGCCACTTTCATTTGTTTTTGTGATTATGATAACAACAAATAATCTATGTTTGAAATATGTTGGTGTTTCATTCTATTATGTAGGCAGATCACTCACAACAGTTTTCAATGTCGTATGTGCTATTTATTTTCCATTTTTTATTCATTTTAATTTGAAAACTGGTGTAAAAAAATGAAGAAAACGATGTAAAAAAATATTTCTATTTCTATTCTGATGATTCAGATTCGAAGGTTTTTGAACCTATTATGGTTATTTCAATGTTTTTTCGCCTTCACTTTAAGTAATAATGAATTTAATAAAGGTATGTTCATATTTGATTCTTGGGCAAATAACTTCTTGGCGTGCTATAGCTTGTTGTACTTTCATTATCGGTGGTTTTTTACTTGGTGTTGATCAGGAAGATTTATCGGGTTTGCTATAATTTTTTTCTTATTTTCTTCTCTCTTTTTTTGGCATTTTAACGATATTAAAGAAAATGAAGTTTTATTATTAATCATTGGCAAATATCATTTCATTTCCTTAAGATTTTTAATTAATTTTGCAAAATTTTATTCTTTAAGGTTCGTTACCTGTTATGGGTGTAGTTTATGGTATATTATCTTCACTTTTCGTTGCTCTTAATGCAATTTATACACAGCGAACATTGTCTGCGGTTGGTGATAATGTTATTCGTTTAACGATGTGCGTAATTTTCATTTTGATCGTTTCAGTATTATTTTGTTTCGGTTATTAAATTATGAATTTCTATTAATGAATTTTTTGATTTTAAAGGTACAACAATGTGAACGCCGCAATAATTTTTCTTCCGATTATGATATTTAGTGAAGATTTTGTGAAGATTTTTTATTTTCCCCAGTTGACTTCACTATACTTTTGGTTATTAATGCTAATATCTGGTGTTTTTGGTTTCATGATGAGTTATGTTACTGCTTGGCAAATTCAGGTAAAAGATTTTTAATTAGAAATAATAAAAATAAATTATATATATATATATATTTTATAAATTATATAAAATATAAAATATTATATAAAATATAAAAATAAAATAAATAAATAAATAAAATAAAAAATTCATCGAAAATGCATTTCAAATAATGGAAATAGAGGATGAGAATTTTCGCAATTTTATTATTTTACAAATAGCTATCAGAAAAGTTTCAGTGGAACTTAATTATAATTGGAACCTGAGATGCTTTTCCTAAGTAATAATCATCTCTTTTTTATGGAAAGCTTCACTTTTTTTATTCTTTAGCGATCAGATATAGAGGAAATTCCTATAAATTCCAATTTTATTTCAGGTTACATCACCTCTTACTCATAATATTAGTGCTACAGCAAAGGCAGCTGCCCAAACAGTGATTGCTATTATTTTCTGGAATGAAGTAAAGCCGATTCTATGGTGGCTTAGTAATTGTATTGTGCTTATTGGGTCAGCAACTTATACGGCAGTAAAGCGTAAAGTATGATGATTATTCTTTGGATTTATCTATTTTGATAGAAGTTAAACAAACTTTAAAATGAAAGTCATGAGATTAAGTGATCCTGAATGGTCCTATTTGTTTTTGTTTGCTCTGTATTATACTATTTAATTTATATTTTAAGGAAATGATTGACTCCTATGAATCAAATGGTAAATATAGCAAACAGTCATCTGATCGACAACCTATTCTCCCAACGAAACTTGAAGAGGAAATTTATTAAATTGGTTATATATATATATATATTTAAATTAATTATATTCGTATTCGTTGCTTTGAATATGAAAAAAATTTATTTGAATTATTAATTAATTTATTATTTCCACAACTGATTTATTTTATTAATTATATCTAATTAGTTTTATTAATTAATTTGTTTTATTTTGTTGTTTTCACCCACTTTATTTTTTTTAAGAGTCTAAACATTTGAATTAGCTTATATATATATATATCTTTTATTATGATAAATACAAGAAATTCATTGCCAAATAATGCAAAAAAAAAAACGAGAAGTTTGATAAAGATAAACTGATTTTTAAAAAATCAGTTTAGGCATTAAATTGGACGTATGGTTTCTAACACAATTGAAATTTTTTTTATTTTTTCACTATATCAAATTCTCTTCGGAGTCGAGGTATGATTAGTGATTGAATTTTTTCCTGATACTGGCATATATGCACCCATATTAACTATTCGTATCGATCTCGTGTTTTTTCTGTCAGCAAGTAAATCGAAACCCTCAAATCTGAAAAAATATTGCAATTGTAAAAATAATTAAAATAGGCGCAATTGAATTGTACATAACTTTGACTGACAATATTGGTTTTTTTTTCGTAGTAGGAATAAATCTGGCATGAAATCTGAAAAACTAAAACTAAAATCTAGTCGATTACAGATTTCATTCGATATCACTTATCAGAATTTTATCTTATATGTGGGCAATTGACATATCATATCAAATCATAATTATTTCATTTTAGAAATTTTAATTTTGTATAAAATATTCGTTAAAAGAATAGTTTTATTATTGTTTGTTCTATTATTTTCTGTGATATTCTTTTCTAACTGTATTTTAATAAAATTAAAATGACCTTATGCATGGAAGAAATCTGAGAAAATAACGAAATCCTTCTCGAAACCTTGCATTTCTAGAATAATAAACAAATGGATTAACAATAGAATGAAGCATGGCTATAGTATTTGCGATCCACCTAAAATCGACGAAGAAATTAGACGATTGATAAGATAATTGGCAGTTGATAAGAAAATAAAGTAAGAATACTACAACTGTAATTGATTTTTATTTTTAATTTAAAAATTTTTAATTCCAAATTAATTGTTCATTTCATTCCGATGAAACATAAATTCATATAGAATCTCGATTATCATTTTTAATCAACAGCAATCAAAAAATTATTAAAAATTAATTATAAAATTTAGAATGGGTGAAAAAGAAAAAAGAACCAAAAATATAAAATCCTTGGATTTGAGACAATTGCTGGATTATAAGGTAAAAGAATATTAATTAATAAATTTTGAGGCAACCAACAACCGGCATATAAAGCGCTTACTAGTAGAACCATACGAATCATCTGAAAAAAATTTCGTCTTTTTTTTAAATAAAGAAATTTTTAAAATCAAAATTAAATCAAATAATAGAAATAATATATTTAATAGATTAATAATTTACCAACCTATATTTAATAAAATTGAAAATCAATTTATTCGATATCAAATAACGTGGAAGAGGGACGGGGAAGAGAAAGAGGACGGGGTTAGACGGGGTTACGATAAGCTTTTTCGAGTCCTAGTACGATTCGATTGAATTAAGAGTGTTGATTATTTAGCTTGTGAATGAATGAACAGAAAGTATCATGGCTTTGGTTCTTTACGCTTTGAGAATAAGTTTTGATGAATTTTGGCCAAATGCCTAAGAATTTGCCCAAATGCCTAGCTTCTATATTTCCTAGCGAATTATCAATGGAATATACCAAATTAGGAAACTTTTCGTTTAGCCTAAAAATTTGCTAAAATCTTTTTGAAATGCTAAAGAAATCGTTTTTAAAAAGAAAGAATTTTTTTCTTTTAATTAAAAAATTATTAAATTTAATTTATTGGAAATTTTTTACTAAAAAAAAAAACGTTATAAATAAATAAATAAATCATAAATTTTCGTTTTCATTGGATTCTAAAATAATTAATTGAAATTTTTTTTTGGTTTTGCTAATTTTGCTAATTTTATTTATTTAATCGCAAAATTTTTAAAAATTTCTAAAATTTTTTCATAAAAATTTTGCATAAAAACTTTTTCCAATTTTTACTTATATTTATATTTATTAAAGAATTGTTTATTAATTATTATGCTAATTGTTATCATTGTTATCATATCATTGTTAGTTAGTCTTTTTATTATTTATTAATTTTATTATTATTATTTATTATTTTTAAAGATCCCTCACCATTATTGGTTAGACTCGCTCCGCTGGCTTATCGCGCTAGACAAATATGCCAAGCAATCTTTTAGCGATAGAAGTACAGCTTCAGCATCGATGCTCCGAATTGAGTAACAACCCACTGAGCCATTCTATGCCCCATTATTATTATTAATTATTATTGTTATTATCATTAATTATTATTATTTATTATTATTGATTATTATCATCAATTATTACAATTATTATTACAATTATTATCATTTATTATCGTTATTATTATTTTTTATTTCCATTATTATTATTATTATTATTATTATTATTATTATTATTATTATTATTATTATTATTATTATATATATTATTTATATATATTATATAAATTATATAAATATATAAATATTATATAATTATATAAATATTATTATTTATTTTATTATATTAGCATTATTGATTGTTATTATCTATATTGTTATTGTTATCTATTATTATTAATATCACTGAAAATATTATCGGGGATAAGTGGCTCAGTGGGTAGCTGGCCAATTCGAGCTTCGATATTGAGGTTCTGTTCCTCACAAGAATAAACCTATCCAAAAATCCAGATGATGCTTATTCACGTGTATTTCTATAGCCAAAGAACTCCCTGGCACATTTATTCAGTGCGACAAGCCAAACTCTTTTTTAAAAAAATCATTATCAATTATTATTATTACTATTATTGTTATTTTTATTTTTATTTTTATTTATTATATTAATATTTTAGCATAGCACATATAAACTACGAAGCCATTATGAATTGAAGCATTATAGGTTGTATTATAAGCAAACGACAACTGGATTTTTCGTCTTCCTCCTCATTTTAACTAGCATACACCATAACTGCTTTAGTTGACTTCAGCTCCTTCATCAGAGAGCGATTTGGAGATATAAAAATGGGTAAGGGGGGTGGGAGGGGGGGGGGGGTAAAAACCACTCGGAATTATTTAACTAATTGATTTATAAACTGATAAATAAAAAAATTCAGATAGATATATTTCGCATTGATATAAATTACAAAAGGAAATTTGCACATTATTTATTGCATAATTAGTGTAGTGTATTTTATTTATTTTTAGTTCATCGCCTTGAGTTTTTTATGGGAAAAAAGAACTCTTTCTTACTCCCCGTGGGTGATAAGAATGATTCGCAGCCTCGAGTCCGCAACCAGAGAATGTCTAAGAGATCTGTTGAGGGTTCTTGCAATGTATTTTCTTTGCTGATCTCAGTGGTGCACTTTTTTGAATAGAGATTTATGATATTATTCCTCAAATCTGCAAAAGGCTGAGTTTTTTTTAATTTGGGGGAAGTTTCGAAGTTGCTCCAATTTTCAGTGGAATACTTTGGCCTTCATTTTCCACACCATCTCTAGTTCTTTCCTTTTTCAGCCTTCGGTATTTCTCTAACTTCTCACATTTTTTCTCTCTTCACTTGGCAAATTATCAGTGCTGATCAGTACTGATTTCTGATAGTAAAATTATAGTGTTATAATAAAAATAAATATATATAAATATTAAATAAAAATAATAATAATAAAAATAAAAAATATAATTAGTTATTGGCCATTTTTTTTTTTTGAACACCTTTTTAACCGATTCGTGACGTCCACTAATAACATAACGACTAGAAGTCCTATCGCCAGGAACAGCGCTATTCCACATTTTTAAACCAATCGCTGTATAAGAAATAACGAGAACAGTAAGTGGAAAGCAATACTGTAAGGCAAATACTAAAGAACCATATGTATGCATTATTCCATCACCAAAAACATTTTGTAAATATTGCCAACCATATTCTTCACATGTATCATAACCATCATGCCTTTTAATCTAAAATATCATTAATATATTTTTTTATAACAATAATAATGATAATTGATAATAATTATCATAAAAACTTATCAAAAATTTAATGCAAATTCGCAAAATAAAATAAATTGTTAATTTCTTTTCGTTTTTAATTGAAAATTCTTAATTAATAATTCTTAATTTTTTATACTTTTTCGATTTGCTTATTGTCAAATACACAAAAGCGATATTTTAATTAATCAACATTTTTGGAATGAAACAAAATTAATTTTCTCGAAATTTTTCTTGTCGAAGAACAAGAAGATGTCACTTTTTTTTTTATTTTTAATAAAATGATATTTATAATATATTTTTAAAATTTCATTTTTTATAATATTTTTTTTTTGTAAAAATTTCTCGCTTATGAAAGAAAAAGAAAAATATACCAACGCTTGCAGCTTGAAAATTATTTTTCGCAAAGTTAATGGAAACGAAAAAATTATTGAAAAGCAAAATATAAAAAACATTAAAATGAAAATTTAAAAAATATTAAAGTACAAAAATTACATTTTTTAAAAAATAAATTATAAAAACAAAATATAAAAATTATAATTAAATTATTATCATTATAATTAAATTATTATCATTATAATACAAATGATTGCATTGTAATTTAATTGTATTATAATTATATAAATTACAAATTTTTTATTAAAAAAAAATTTAATATTACTAGATTAAATATTTAAAAAAAATTTTTTTTTTATAATATATAATATTTATAATAAATAAAATAAAATATTTATTATTAAATCACAAATTTTGCGCACCTGATTGACATAAAACAAAGGTGCAGCCATAATAGTTGAAAAAATCCAAGTTATAGCAACCAATATTAATGCACGACGTTTTGTTATTCGCCAATTTGCGTTAAAAACAAAAAGTATTGCAGTGAAGCGATCCAAACTGAATTAAAATAATGAAAATGAAGAGATGAATTTTTTAGAAAAATATTTTTATATATAAAAAATATTTTTTTTATTTTTTCACGAAATTAACGAAAATTTATTTAAATATTATTCATATTATTAAAATTATTTTTTAATTACAAATTATTAAATTATTATTAAATTATTAAATTATTAAATAAATTATTAAATTAAATTATTTAAAAAAAAAATTAAAGACGTATTAAAATCATTTGAATTTAAAACTAAAATAAATGTAAAATAAATGCAAATGTAAATCAATATTTTTTATTTTAATCAATTCAATTTTATAAATTTTTATTTATTACAAATTAAAAAATAAATTTGAGAATTTAAAAAGTCGCTGTTTCGTTGTTTTTTGTTTATTAACTTGGAGTTCAAACTGTAAATTTTTGCAAACGTAATGAGGTTCAATTAAAAGCTTCAAAATCTTTTGACAAAAGTAAATGAGCCAAAAAAAAAAAAATTAATTCTTTCTATAAGACCGCTGAAGGACATTAAGTATCACCTAATTCCCATGAGATGCCTAATGTAAATTTTTATAATTCGTTAAATTTGCAAAATTTTTTAAAAATTTTTTATATTGTAATATTTAAACTGATAAACTGGCGAATGTAAAGTTGAAACTGATAAAGTGATAAATATAGAATTAAAAGAGAGAGAACCATTAACACAAATTTTTTTTTTGCGAATTTCATTATTTGATTTAAATTAATTTTCTCAAATATTCTTATTTATTTTTATTATTTAATAAATAAATAATTTTTAAAAATAGATAAATTTTACAAATATATATAGACATATAGACATATTATATATATATATATATATAAATACCATAAATAGTAAAGCATTTGCATATATCATTATTATCTTTAATTGTTATATATCATGCAATAAAATTTATCCCTAAACAACGACCAAATTTTATTTACTTATCTCCATTATAAAATATTATTATTATTAAATATTATTAATTATTAAATATTAAATGTTATTAAAAGCAATAAGCAGAAAATTTGGCATATTTTGAGATAAAAAATTTTTTTCATTTGATAAATTATGCTTGAATAAATAAATAAATGCAAAAAAAAGAATAATATTTTCATAGTTCAAAATTTTAAATCAAACAATGAAAAAGCTAAGAAATTTATTTAATTTATTTGAGATAAGTTCTAGATAAATAAAAACGATACGAAAATAGCAAATAGTGACGCGCAGTTGTATGACTGATTACTGATATGATAAATCTGATAAGAAATGAATTTGATAAGAAAATAAGCATGATAACTTATATGATAAAAAATGTTAAGGAATTTTAAAGAAATTTATGAAATTGCTTTTCTAAGAATGTATATGTATTTATGCACCCATTTGTGTGCAAAAATATCTTAATTTTGAAGTCTTTAATGAGAAATCTCTTTTGTTTTCCCTTCATTTTTGTAAATAAAAACAGGTTCATTTATTAATTCATTTTTGCTCCGATTTGAATTTTTATATCACTTTGAATTTAAAATTGAATTGAATTTTTAAATTAACTTTTTAAAAAATTAAACATTTCTTGGTGTCATATTTATTATTATACTTTTTATTATTTTTATTATTAATACTATTATTATTATTATTATTATTATTAGTATTGTTATTATTAGTATTATATTAGTATTATATTATTGTTATTAGTATTATTATTATTATTATATTTTTGTTGTTATTATATATAAGAAAAATTATTATTTAAATTAAATTTATTAAAGTTAATTAATTTAATTAATTTTTTCTAAAATCAAAAAATCTTAATTTAATAGAAACTAACTTTTAAAAAAAGCCTCAAAATCCATATCAAATGCATTATTTTTAATATTTTAAAAAATTTTTTAAAAAATTTTATTTTTATATAAAATCTTTATATAAATTTCTTTAAAATTTTAACTCTATATTAATAAAGAATTTAATTAATTATTTTTCATTATTTTTAATTTTTAATCATTTTTAAGATAATTAAAAACTAATTATTAATAATGAATAATATTGAATAATAATAGTTGTAATATGAAAAGATTTCAAAAAATTATTTTCATTATTTATTAAAAATACTTTAAGAATTTAAAAATAAAAGGAAAAATAAATAAAACTATTGCATGATAAATTGTTTTAAGATTATAAATCGACAAATTGAAATTTATGCAATATTTTACTTCGAAGGAAAAAGCTAAAACAAAAAAAATGTCATTTGCTCGCTCGCATATGTGTATTTTTGCTTTCCCGTTAAAAATTTTTTTAAGTCTTATCGAATAAAGAAAAAAGAAAACGTATACAAAAATGCACTATGGAATGTCTCTTCGTTTAATGAGATATTTATTTTTATTCATTTTAATAAATATTCATAAAATGGTGAAAAATTAGCGATTAGAAACACTTAATTAAGGCATTCTATCCATTCACTCAATTATAGAAAATGCCTTCAGGCATTTTATAGTTGAATTATATTTAGGCACTCATCCATTAAATTTCTTTTCAAAATCGATATCAATGATTAAAAATTAAAAAAAAAAGAAAACAAAAAAAAATAAATACATTAAAAAATAATATTTAATATATTATTTATCTTTTTTTAAAAATAGTAGAATTATTATCAATGAAAAAAATTAAGGTATTCTATATATTAGCTTAAAACAATCTTTATCTTTTTTCAATTTTAAAATGATTTTTATAAAAAGAATACTAAAATTTTATTAGAAATATTTTATGTTTTTCATGAAACTCAAATTCAAAGAATAATTTTGAAAAGAATTTTAAAAATACGAATAAAATAAATATTATAAAAAAAATAAAAAATTTTAATGATAAATAATAAATCTATTTTAATAATCGAAAAATAGCAACATGAGTCGAGCATAAAAATTTTTCAATTTTTATTTCAAAATGCATATAATTTATATAAAATTTATTGTTAGATATCTGTGTAATAAGAAATAAATTTATTTATTTAGAATATTCAAATAAAAATAAGAATTTTTAAAATAATTTCGTCCACTTATTATTTATGTTGTAACTATGAAACGTATAAATAAAATAAAATTGCAACATTTGATGAGAAAATCATTTTTGTTCCATTAAAATTAATTTTCAGAAAGAATTTATTAGATCGACGATGAGAATAGCTTTTACCTTGTGATTAGTGTAAAGTATATATTTTATGATAATAATATTAGTAATGAATCGAATATAGCGCGATTTGACAAAGATAAATGATAAATGATAAGGTTTAATGAGGTTTTTTTAGACGATTTTAAATTATTATATATAAAGTTTTGATTAAAAGTTTTAATTAAAATTTCGCGCTTATTAGATTAGCAAATAGTTGAATTTGTTAAATCATTTTTTTAATCATTTAATTAAATTGTATTTTACATTTTATTTTACATTACATTTTACATTACATTTTATTTTAAATATTTTATTAAATTATAAAAAATTATATTTTATTGAATTATAAAATTATTTGAATTCATCTTTTAAAAAACAAAAACAATAATAATAAATTTGTGTTAATGGTTCTATCTTTCTTTTAATTTTATATTTATCACTTTATCAGTTTATCAGTTTATCAGTTTCGATTTTTTTTGTAAAAACATAAAAAAATTTTTGATTTGTTAAAATTATTAAAGCGTAAATCAAAAAAAAAAAAATTCACTTGGTTGGTCTCAAAAAAAAAAGGGAATTATACTTATGATTGATGAAAATGAAATAAATTATTGGTTATTTCTTTGCCTCAAATATCATCCAAATATTCAATGAATTTCGCATTTCAAAGCGTTTTGCAAAAAAAAGAATAAAAGTGTTTGTAAAGTACTTATTTTGATATGTATGAATTTATCTGTAGAAATAGTGATTAATGATATGATATGATATTTTTTTAAAAAGCCTTCATTATTACTGGTTAGACTCGCTCTGTTCGCTTGTCGCACTAGACAAATATGTTAGGAAGGCTCTTAACGATAGAAATACAGGTGTGTAAGCAGTATCACATGGATTTTTGGACAGGTTTACTCTCGATGAATAGAAATTCAGCATCCATGTTCAGAATTGAGCAATGACTTACTGAGCCACTGTAAACCTCTTTCCCTCTTTCCTCTTTCTAATGATATGAAATTGTGAAATGCAAAGAAGCTGATAAAATGCCTCTTTTTGTAATTTGCCGGTTGAGGAAGTGCCTGATTTCAAATACTTTGGGTCCACTCTAATACCAATTGAACAGCAAAAGATGATATTATAACACGGATCACGGAAGCTAGAAATGCGTTCTTCCGGACGAAACCTTTATGGAATCGTCGTGAAATCACCATAAAAACGAAAATCCGCATCTATAATGCAGTGATCCGTTCGATCTTACTATATGGTTCTGAGACATGGCCAATGAGAGTGGAGGATATTAAGAAGTTATCTGCCTTTGACCACTCTTGTCTAAGGTACGTATTGCGGATCCGAGCGGATAAGATATCACAAGATCGCATCCATCTTCGTTCAAATACCACTTGCATAAATAATGTCATAGAGCGCCGCCTTCGCTGGTTAGGGCACATTCTCCGTCGTCCACCACAGGATTTGAAGCATATTTCGTTATTTGCTAAACTGTGTGATGGTTGGCGTCAAAAGCGAGGTGGGCCAATCAAGATCTGGATTGATACGGTGAGAAAAGATTTTGAACGTATAGGTGAACCAGCAATATATGGACTTAGACGATGGAAAAAGGAATGGCTTCCATTACTGTCGACGATGGCATCAGACCGCGCCGCTTGGAAGCGTCTTACTCTTGTAGTCGTTGGAGCCAGCGTAGCTAGTAATGGTGAGAGCTGTTAGAAGAAGACGAAGAAATTGAAATGCAAATGCTTTTCAAAAATTGTTTTGAAAGTGATAATTTTTTTAGTGAAAATTAATATTTTTTACTAATATAAAAGAAAATATAACAATGAGAAAAACATGAATAAATAATATATTAGCAGTACTATATTTCGACGAACGACAACGATGTCACATAATTTATAAAAAATTTACAAAACGCTTTTAAACCAACCTTATAGCAACTAAAGTCCATGAACTAAGAAATACAGCAGTCGCTTGTAGAAATGCCAATAATTTACAAAAAATTGAACCAAATATCCAACGTTGATCAGTAAAAATAATAACATGCCAATAGGAAAATGGCATACATAAAAAACTTATCATTAAATCGGCGATTGCCAAATTCAATATGAGAATATTTGTTGCTGTACGTAAACGTGGAAAGTGTACAATAACTAATACAATCAGAAAATTACCACAAATTGCTATAATACTCATCATACTGTATAAAAATATTGCAATTGCCTAAAATAAAAACAACAATTACAGCATATATTAACAATAATTTTATTTAATAATAATAATAAATTATTTTAATAATAATAAATAAATTGCTAAAATAGTATTTCATAAAAAATATTATTTTATATATATATATATTTTTTAAAATTATCAAAGTTAAATCAAATCGCTTAAATTTTATTTTGCTTGGTTTCAATATTATAAAAAATTGAGAAAAATGAGATATTTATTTTATATATTTTATATTTATTTTATATATACTTTATATATTTATATATTTTTTTTAATATTTAATATAAAATTGAAAAAATATAGCAAAATGTAAGCTTTTCATTTAAAAAAATTTAAGCGCTTAATTTTTTTTAGTTTTTAATTTTTGCACAAATAAGAATAAAGTTTTAAAGTTGTTTCGAAGGAATATTTTTATCACCCATTAATTATTATATATCGTTTATTGTTTCTCATCATAAACTTTAAAAAAATGATATGATTTAAATTATAAAAAAAAATTTATGGTTTTTTGAAATATGAAAAATAATCTAAATTATTTTCTATAAAAAAATATTTAAAATGATTTGTAAAAAAGTTTAAATTTTTTTAATTTTCCTATTTGGCTAGGCTCGTTTTTCTGGCTCAAATAAATTTTGCTAGAGAGCCTCTTAGCGAGAAATTTTGGAAAATAAATTTATTCTTACTACTGGGTAATAGAATCCCAGAAACTGTCATTTCACCCTAACGTTTAAATCGCATTTCCAATTTTTGCATATTTTTGCAATCTTCGTATTTTCCATATTTTCATCTTATAATTATTGTTTCTTAAAAAAATTTTTTTCGAAAAATTTCCTTAGACAATTTTTTGTTTTCTCATAAAAATATTTTAAAAAATGTTTCTAAACAAATCGATATTGAAGCTAAATTATTTCTTTCTATGTGAATTGGAATTAATGAAAATTTAATGAACCATTTAAATCGAATTTAAAAATTTTAAAAATCCAAATATTTTGCATTTTGTAATTTTTTATAAGTGAAAAATTCGAAAAAGAAACAAAAAACTTTTTGTCTTTTCCCTTATTTATATTTTTTACGTACTTTAAATTTTCATCCAAATTGTTTTTTTTTTCTCTAAAGGCGCTCATTATATTGTTTCACTGATTTGTCAGACCAGAAAAATTTTGCTGGAAATTTATTGAAAGCGATGGAGAAATTCATATGCGCTATTAAGATTATCCGGATTCCGGATATCCGAAAAGAATTCGTTTCTAGGCGAACTTTAACATTGGCGTTCGGAAATTATGTGCAACGCAACAAACCACTGAGCAATATTATAAGCAATAATTCAGCTATTATTCTAATATTATTGGTTTGTTGTCATATTTTTAAAAAATCGAATATTTTCCTTCACTCCTACCATTTCATTATTATACAAATTTTTCTAATTTATCAACAAAAGAAAAAAAATTTAAAAAAAAAATGTTTAGATCCAAACGAAAAATTTTTAAAATTTAAATATATAGAACGTATTTTTATAATAAAAAATATAATTTTATTTTTTTATTTAAAATTTTACTTATATAAAATTTTAATATTTTAATATTTTAAAAGGCAAAAATGTTTTTCATTCAAATCTTTTATTTCGATTTAGAAATCTTAAATGATGATCTATCTATTCGGATTGAAAATTCTTTAAAAAGTTATTCATAGAGAACTCATATTTTCATTATTCTTCGAATTAAAACGAAAATCAAAAATTGTTGATTGATGAGAATTGGTTTTATGTCGTTTATGTGATATGATATCATGATAACATATATATATATATATATGTATTATGACAGATATATATATATATATATTTTATGATCTATTAAAAAATGTTTATCTTTTTTGTCATCTACGATGATAATGAGCTTTTTTATGAGAAAATTTTAAGAAAATATTTTAACAAATATGAAAATGTGCAGAAAGAGCAAAAAATTCTTAAGAGCAATTCTTAATTCTTTTTCCAATTTTTTATCACTAAATTATAATTAATTTATAATTACTTATTATTATTGTTACTTTAATATATCTAATATAAAATGATTAAATTAATATAATAATAAAATATAATTAAATAACCAAACATTTTTAATTGAAAATTACTTTTTTTTAAAGAAATAAAAAACAAAATTATATTTTTTATGAATATTAAAATTTAAATTAAAATTAAAATTTAAATTTAGTATTTAGAAATATTTCGAATAGTAGAAAATATATTTAATACCTTATTGTCTAAAATATTTATTTATTATTGATGAAAATTGTAATTATAATTATTATTATCAGTTGTAACTGTAATTACAATTCGGCCTCTTCTTCACCTTCTTTAATAGCCAACCAACGAACAGCGATGCTGTGCTTCTACTCTCAGTTGAAATAATAAATCCATCTTTCGAAAATACGAGTAATACTAGTGGTTCATTTGAATTTCTATTGGCTTTTAAGTGATTCCATTGGCTAAATTTATCTGATCCAACGTGCCAGAATATAGAATACTAAGCCTAATCGAAAATAATATTATTTGCTAATAATATTAATAATATATAAAATTATTTTGTAAAAATAAAAATTACCTTATGTGTAAGTGTAAGACGAAGAATATCGTCATCACTATCATCTCTCTTTGATTCATTCATTATGCTAATAAATTAACGATTCATCGATAAATAAATTTGGTAGAAATAAATAAATGATGAATAAATGAATTTAAAATCCCACAAATAAAGGCCGCTGTATCATTTTATTTTATTTATTTTTATTATTCCTAAAATAAATAAATAAAATATTAAAATAAAATTCAAAAATTTCACAATTTAGCAAATTTTTTCGATAGCAAATTTTTTAATAGAAACATTTAGTAGTAATTTTTATAATAAAAAAACAACGATAACAAAAAAAAAATCAAATAAAATAAACAAATAAAATAAATAAAAAATGCAAAAAAAAAAATAGTCGTCACGATAAGAATTGAAGAATTTCGTTTAATTCGACTGGTCACGATAAACGACTGAAAAAAATATTTATTTTTATATTTCGAAAAGAATTTTAAAAAAAAATCGAAAAAATTCGGTTTTCTAATATTTTTTCTACTTTTTTTAATAAATTTCAAATTTAGTGAATAAAAAAAAAGCATAAAATTATATATCCTTGAAAAAAGCGAATGCAAATGAATAAAAATGATCGACGACGATGTTTCGTCTAATCGAAAGCGTAGTAAAATTTTTTAAATTCTTTTCATTCGCATCTTTCTTTTATCCTTAATTTTCCTCTAAAAAAAAAAAAAGAATTATTTATATCCGCTAAAAATCAACGAATAAAATTTAAACTTTATGAATAAATGAACGATAAACTTTTGAGTTTTTATTGACGATTAGTAAAAATAATAACGAAGGAATTATTTAATTAAAAAAAAACACAAATTTTGTAGTTTTTTTGCTCATTTTTTATTAACGGAAATTTATAAATTTTATGAGAAATTTCGATAATAAACGACAAAGAAATAAAGTTAAATCAAAATTTTATCATATAAATTTGAATATTTGAATGAATTAAAATATAAAATATGAAAAATCAAGCAAAATAAAAATTTGCAAAAAATTTCTCTTTCTTTCAACTTTCAACTTTTTTTCATAAAAAAAAGTTAAAAAATAAATTAAATAAAATAAAAAAAATTAAAATTAAAAATTTGAGAAATTCAATAAAAATTACAATAATTTATTGTATGAAATTCTTTTCTTTTCTTCTTATAAAAATTAAGCAAAAAATTTTTATTAAAAAAAATAAAAAATTTAAAATCGATAAGCTTAAGAAAATTTATCTAAATATGTCTATATTTGCTTATTTATTTATTTATTTATTGCCTAAAGCAATGATTGAAATTGTCGTTAATGAGAGATTGGCGAGAGGATAAATAAATTAAAAATTAGTAATATTTATAATTATTTTTTTAAAATTGAAATCATAAAAAGAAAAAAAAACATCCAAAATCGACTTCATTATGAGATGTTCTTCTACTAACAATGTACCATTATGCACCATTTCTGGTTCATCGAGCTTCACTTGTTATTTTAAATAAGGCGTTTCCAAAAATTCCTTGTCCTGTTTCTATACCTAAAATTTATTGAAGCCACTCCTTTTACTGCCAAAAGTCAACAAATCGCTGAAGACCGCCCTGTAATTTCAAAAAAATTCTCAATTTAACCGTATCAATAACTGGTCATTGGTTGTGATTATCGCTTAGGTTCATAGCCTTATTCATTCACCATAAGGTAAAACATATAAATGAGAAAAAAAAATAACGAAAAAATCTCGTATATATAAGATTGATTAGCCGACCCTTTTAAAAAATTATTATAAAATAAGTAAAATTATAAAATTATATTAAATAAATAAAATTAAATAATTAAATAACAATTAAATTAATAAAATTATACTAAATAAAAAAAAAATAAAATAAACTTAATTAATGATATATATATATATAAGCATTTATCCTGCTTAGCAAATCATTTAGCTTAGCAAATTTCAGGCCTCGTTTTTCATATTCCCCCTATTTCCTATATCCTATTTCTAACTTGTCATAATCGGATAATTTTAAATAATTGGATGCGAACTAATTGAGAATTAATATAAAATTAATTAATTACGATCTTATACTCTTATATTAATAAAACTTATTCATTTAATGAATTTTTATTGAAAATTTCAAAAATTTAATTAGTTCTAAACGAGAACAACAATGGAAAAATGGTAGTTAAATGGTACCTTTCTTGGTATTTTTCTTAGAAAAAATATAAAAATGAACTAGTCAATTATTAAATGATCAAAAATGCAAAATTTTTTTGTTATACTATTCAGCGATAACAACAAATAACTAATAAAAAAACTAATTTAACGAATAAAAAAAATTTTTTTTTAAGAATCCTCACCAATACTGGTTAAATTCATTCATCCCGCTGGCTTATGGTACCGGACAAATACGAGGAAATCCTTTAGCAATGGAAATATAGATGAGTCGCTAGCATCATTCGGATTTTATTTTTTGACAGTTTTATTCCTGCAGAGAATAGAACCAACCTCAATATCGGCGTTCCCAATTGAGTTACGATCCACTGAATTATTCTATCTCTAACTAATAAGAAATCGCCAGAAATATTGGAACACTAACCATCTACTTTCTTATAGTCCATGAAAAATAACCTGGTTGATAATATTTAACATTTTCATAGTTTCGCCTGATTCATTGGGAAATATGCGAAGATTTCTATGCAAACCTCTCTGCTATTTTTATATTATTCATATGTTTTTTTTTTTTTTGTGAATTATAATAAAAATATTTCTTTCAAATTTACTTATTATTTTTTTAATCATCTTATATCATTTTTTATCGCTTCTATTTGTTTAACATTATTTTATAAGCAAAAAAATGTTTAAAAAAGAAAAAAAAATTATTACATTCTCATAAAAATCGCATTCATGTTAACGGTTTGACATATATCATTTTGCTTATCAAAATTTTTACAATATTTTTCCATCTTTTTTTATGTTTAAAATATTTTTTTTATACATTTAGCTATGAAATGAGCTCCAATAGATCTTTAATTTCGCTAATTTCTTATATTTTTCTTAAATATTCTTCTTTTTTTTTTTCAATATTTATCATTTCCGGTTGAGCTGTTAGGAAAAAATTCTTACTCGGCAAAAAGACATTTTGACAAATCCTAGCAGAATCGTAAACTTATTTTTAATGGCAATTTTATTCCAATAAAGAAATCGAACTTATAATAATAGCATTCTTGATTGGAATATTAAATCGTATTTAACTATATGGCTTCTTTCACCTGTTTTTCTGCATTTTTCATCTAATTTTAGCTAAATTTATTTTTACTTTTAAAAAAAAAATGACTTAAAGCTTTTTCAAATATTTTTTATATTTTCAAAATAAAATTATTATTATTATTTAAGAAAATATAAAAATCATTTTATTAAAATTATTATTATTTATTTTGGTGTATAAATTTTTGATTCTATAAAACCATTACTTCACTTATTTCAATACATTGAAACGATACAAGTGGAACAAATTGGAGGCTTAGTGGTCCTTTTTATTGGAGAAGCGTCAATGCTGAAGTCCTTTATCTGGAAATGAATAAATTTGAAAATTCGGATGAGCCGACGAACCACTTCTAATCAATTGATTTTCTAGCAGAAACTATCTATAAATCAATAGTACCAACCTAATCAAAAGTGATGAGCGCTTCTATAATTCAAGAAAATCAAAATATACAAAAGAACAAATGCGAAATTGATCAAAGAAGCTAATTTTTTAAATTTATTCTTTAAATTTTTAAATTTTCTTTTAAATATTTTCGTTGAAAGATGAAAAGTGAAAATATTTGGATTTCTAAAACTTTAAAATCTCATTTAAATTTACTTATTAAATTTTAAGTTTTCAATTCATTTTACTAAATCATATAAAAACAATTATTTGGATAATCAAAGATTTGATGATAATTAAAATTTTTCAAGAAATTAAATAAAGAATTGCAAAAATATAAGATGAATTATTAAATATACGAAGAATTATTCATATTTTCTAAACTTCATTTTACTTTTCGTTTTCCTCCTTTCCTTCTTCTTCTTTCTTCCTTCGCCTTCAGATTATTCGTTATCGTCGAGAATTTTTCTTTATTTAATAATGAAAAGAAAAAGAAAAAGAAGGATAAAAAGAAAAGCTAGGAAAATAACAAAACTAAAAAATTCGAAATTCTATTGATAAATTTATTAATCAATATCACGAAAATCGTATCAGTGATTCTCCTTCTTCAAATAAATCCCTAAATACTATTATTTATTTTGATAAAAGATTTAATAAAGATTTAATCGCTTAATCTTATAGCTTATAGTTAATAAATAAATTTTTTAGAATTTGGTTCATTTTTTCCTCATCAACAATCCATTTTTATTTTTAATTTATTTATTATTTATTTAATTTAATTATTTTTATTATTTATTGTTTATTATTTTATTATATATGTTATATTTTATTATATTTTATTATATAAGTATTATTTAATTTAATGCAATCAGATATTTTCATAAATTAATGCGATCATTCTGGTTTATTTTGTATTATTTTTTGATGACTTCTAATAGATTTCAGTGCATTCAAATAACAGATAAAATAGAAACTAAAGAAGACAATGGGAAGTGAAGGCTAGAATAATTCCAGTAATAATTGGAATTAAGAATAGAATAGCTCAGTGGGTTGTTGTTCAATTTGGAGTACCGGCGCTGGAATAATTCTGCCCAAAAATCCGCGTGATACTGGTGACTGTAATTCTATCGCCAAGGAACTGCCTGGTATATTTATCCAGTACGATAACGGAGCGAGTTTAACCAGTAATAGTTATTTTAACCAGTATATGGTTATAATATTTAAGTTATTTCACAAGTAATTAATTGCAAATATTAATGAAATATATTCGCAAAATATTTTAAAAATAAGCATAAGTCACTTTTTTATTTTCAATAAATAATAAAGAAAATCCTTGAAGAAGAAAGAAATTGATTATTAAAAATGTTTTAAATATAATCCGAGGATTGAGAGAAAAAGTCACAAAATCTTTGTCTTTAT